CTGTTAGAAATGGGGTTTATGTTTAACATCCTACTAGACTAGGCGGAAAAATATTCACAGAGACCCCGAACTGGTTTAAGCACCCTTTTCTGATTAATATGCATGACGCCTTAACAGTTCTAGTTATTCAATTACAAAGCAGTTCGCATGTGCAGTATATGTGTTTTAAAACTAAAGTCAACGTAACCCATGGTATATGAGATTGTTTAATACAGTTTCCAATTTAGTTTTAATGTGGTCATAGTATGATGTTGACGAATAAGAATGCACCAGACAACAAAATCCTTTACTTAGAATGGTAGCTTGAAATTATGTAGACCCCCCCCCCCCCCCGTCCCTCTAAAAAAGCAATAAAACAAAACCAAGCCTTTTCAGTCTTACCTCAGCCTTACACCCACCACCCGCGCCCACCCACACCTCCTTTATATATATTAATTATTTTTGATCGTATTGTTTCCAAAACTCAATATATTTGTAATAACTACTTATTTTTGTTCTAAAACTTGCTTCTTAAATTTATTTTTCTCTTTAAAATAATAGTCGAAACACAAGCGCCTACAATGGAGGAACTAAAACCGGACTTCGCTTCGTTACTCTCGCAGTCAGGTACAAAACGCATATATCATTCATTAATAAGATCATTATTTAATTATTCATTCATGCATTTACATCTATGGTTTTACATTTATGTTTTAAGTTGATTTTACATCTGTGTTTTAAGTGGGTTTTACATCTATGTTTAAAGTTGACTTTACATCTATGTTTTAAGTTGGTTTTACATATATGTTTTAAGTTGGTTTTACATCTCTGTCTTAAGTTTTGTGTTGGTTTTGCATCTACGTTTTGTGTTGGTTTTATATCTATGTTTTAAGTTGGTTTTACATGTTTTAAGATTTGTGTTGGTTTTACATCTATGTTTTGTGTTGGTTTTACATCTATGTTTTAAGTTGGTTTTATATCTATGTTTTAAGTTAGTTTTACATCTATGTTTTTGAAGAGTTAAACAGAGAGGTCACACCAAAACAAGATATTTTAGAAGACAAGGTCACTTTCTTTGACAGACTGTTAATCGTAAGTTTCAATTTAATTATTTTAACTTATGTCTAGTGTTATAATGCGACTTCGTATACACCAAGCGTCACTGTTTGCTTAGCGTGGCATACATTCTGAACGCTTACACGTTGTGTGGAAATTTAGAAATTATATACTAATGGACCAGTAAAGTTATACTAAGCGCGAACACGACCAGGAACGCGAACGCGACAACTGACCACTACGAATTTACGCGCGAATGTATTTAAAGCGCGGAAATTTGAAGATGAAAATGGCACATTCACGATTTGATCATGTACACCTTTTGACCTCGCAATCTGATTGGTTATTGAAAATCGTTTGCGCGAACTTTTCCCAAATCGCGCTCAGTATAAACGGCATTGAAGGCCCGTTTTCCATGCGCGGGTTTTCGCCGGCGAAAAAGTCCGTCTAATGCAAATGTAATGGAACCGTTTCCATGCAACCGACAAAAACGCCGAAAACTGCTATTGACACTCATACTAACTTGTCTCGGTTTTAACTTTTTGTGGCTAGTCTATTATATGATAAATTAAGATTGTCATGAACAATTAGCACAGTATACTAATAGATTTAAATTATAATTGATATGTTTTAAGTATTTCAAAAACGCCATACGGTAAATTATATGTCAATTCAATCAAGGAAACCGTTAATTGTAGTTTCAACAAATCGTCACAATTTTTTTTCTGATTTTCCAGAGATTATAAATCAAGAAGTCAAATGTTTCCTTCTCCCGAGTTGAAAAATTCAATGAAGGTAACTTACGTTATTTACCGTACTGTTCTCATATTTACTAAGGGTTGTTGTGTGGGGGTCGAATGGTATAACACGTGCGCGTTAGATCATAAGGCCTGTCATTGAATCAAGAGGCATGGTTTAGAGTCCACACGTTTAGGTGACAAGAAGTAGTGCCTCCTGTCCAACCTCGTGGAATTTCTATTATGCAAAATTGTTGCGTATATGTTTTTAGATTAACAATTATTTTTCTGATATTGACTTACGCCTATGGAATTGAAAAACCACGATGACAGTTGCTTTATTTAAAGCTATTTTGGATTATACAGCTGTACTTTAATCTACCGTACATTGATTTACTGTACTGCCAATAATTAAAGGTAGACTTCGTGTGTATTAATTATAGTTTATAGTGACATAGATTTTGTTTTCAGAAGAAGGGAGTTTGGATGGCCGAATGGTTAGCGCGCTGTATCATAAGGTCTGTCATTGAGTCAACAGACATGGTTTCGATTCCCCGGTTGTATGTGACCAGGAGTAGGGTCAACCTGTGACAACCCAGTGGATTTTCTCCGGGTCCTCAGGTTTCCTCGCACTGCTGAAGACCCCTGCGCACAAGCGAATTATTGAAATAAAAATGAACATATGTTAGTCCCGAAATGACCTAGTTGAAATTTTTTGTCGGGTGGACGTTAAAGCAAAGCATTGCCGGTATAATTCTCAGAGTTTTCGCTTGTGGTGTCAAAAGCGAAGACGATTAATCTGTCTGAAATGAAACATTACATCTGTATCTTTATTGTTATAATAGAAAACCAAACAAATAATTATACACGCCCCTCCCTGCTTATTATATGTATATATTTACAGGAGTGAAACTTTCTTTACCTTTCAACAATTACCAAGTTATAAGAGTAGATAGCGGCAATTTAGTAGGTAATTGATTTAAGGAAAATGATTTTGTGATAAGGCACCAAATTTATGTCATATTTCATTTCTTTATTGAGTGAAATATGTTACTGGTCTCTCTGTGTGCTAGGAACGAGCACCTTAAAAGAGTAGGTTTGATGTTTGATAAGATGAATTTGATAAATATATTTTGGTCAATATAACTAAATTGTAAAAATTCAAATTAATCGACCCCAAAGAAACCCCTAAAGGACAAATACAACCGGCAAAATGAAGAATTAAGTTGTTAAAATAAAAGGGGTTTTCAGGGGGTTAGACTGGGTAAAATTATAAAAACCACAGGGCGGGGGCTCCTTTTTTCGCACATTTTTGGGCTAACTTTACTAAACCGATATTTCATATTCAGACATTTTTGCCAACTTCTCAATAACCATTTTATAGATTTCAAATTGACTTATTAGGTATATTACTTGGTTGGTGATTATTCAGATTAGCTAAAAAGAATATACTCAGTTCCATAGAGAGAGGATTCTCGTCCGTTTTAAGGGTCAATTTTATACACCCACACGTAGTTTGGGCATAAATAGTCGTCACCCTGTCAGTCAGTCCGTCCGCCCGCCAACAATTATTGAAGGATCTTTTTCTCATGAGAGGACGAAATGAAATGAAATGTGGTTTTATGGCACGTCAGCTCCAACCGGGCTATATTGCGCCAGATTATGGTGAATGAGAGGACGAACAGAGGCTATAGTTTATAACGGATTCCTTTCAAATTTGATGTATAGACCATTGTGGTTGTGTTCCTATCCTATCAATATTTGTCGCCCCTCTCTTTTCGAAAACCTTGTGAACGCGATTTAAACTAGAGTTTTTTACGGATTCTTTTCAAATTTGGTGTGAAGCATTCCGCGACTTTCTGTTCTGGAGTTATATCCCTTTGCTGAAAACATTGTGTGGCTACAGTTTTTAACCAATTGTTTTCATATTTATGTTTTCATATTGTGGTCATGAGAGGACGGATCCTATCGATATTTAGCTCCCGGCAACCTCCAGTACCCGAGTTATGCCTCCTTTGCGGAAAATCTTGTGGAACATGATAGAGGCTATAGTTAGTTTTTAAGGAATTCTTTTCCAATTTGATGTGAAGCATATTACGGTCCTAAGAGGTCGAACCATATCAATAATCAGCTTTTCGCAACTTTCCGTTTTGGTGTTATCCCACCTTTACTGATAACAGTTTTGAGGGATCTTTTTCAATTTTTTTGTGATCTTACCATGGAGTTATGTCCCTTTTCCGAAAACCTTGTGACGCGAAAGATGTTATTGTTTTTAGCGGATTATTTTCAATGAATGGACGTCATGGAGATTTTTGAGACACATTAAAAGTATGTTTCAATCGCAGATCCTGTTCACTCTTACATGGCCATGGTATACTAGATACTAATAATAAAATAAAAACAAAACCAAGTACGAACAATCCAAACCATTAGACAAAATTCGAAGTCCTACACTTTTGTGTATAATTATTTTCATAGTTACCAATGTAGGAAGTCCACTGACTATTTACACAGTCTTACCTTTCGTTTCATGGGCTTTTTGTCTTTGGCTACCCTGTCGTATTAGAATGTGAACAAGATCCACAATTTCTACAAGTAATGTTGGCGTATACTATCGTCACTTGCCCCCCTCAATCATTTTTTGAAAACGCTCTACAGTTCTTGTTGGGAGTAGTTATAAAAATATTTATGTGCGGGGAATGTTCATTTGTTTTTTTTAAAAAAAAAACAACCCAGCTTTCATCGCGTTCACAAGGTTTTCAGCAAAGGGGATATAACACTACCACGGAAGGTGGCAGAACGCTGAATATCGATAGGGTTTGTCCTCTTATGACCACAATGCTTCACACCCCATTTGAAAAAGAAATATACCCGTAAAAAAAACATAGCATTTATCGCGTTTACAATCCAATTGTTGGCGGACAAACGGGGCGTCGACTACAATTATTATTTAATATTCCTGAAATTTCTCTTGGTTTGGGGAGAAATCCAAACGATTTCAATGGTTTCAGGGCATAGGTATTTGGATTGCATTTTGCTATGAAATGATACCTCTAGCAACGCAGTCACAAGTATGTGATCTTTTAAAAGAATGGATTGGAACTTTCAGCCAAACCACAACCACCACGAAATCTTGTTAACGCTGAGAAGAGGTCGTGATATAAAAAACAGCAATAATGTAACAGGGCTGATGCTGGGCCTATGTTTAAACAACATAAAGACCAATAGTTGATTTTTAGATTTATTTAAAACAAAACAAGAATTAAACAATAGGCTAAATTGCAACACAAATAATTAATCTACAAACAAACAGCCTTCAATAAATAAAAATCTAACGATTTCCGGAGGGATGAAATGCATTGAACGATGAGGATCGTGAAGCGGGCGGGGGGGGGGGGGGTGTATGTGTGCAATGCAATGCCCAATGTCTAGAGATTTGATTAAAATTTCGTTCCGTTAATTTTAGTTGGTCTAAATACAGATCTAACCACTTCCTTATAATATCCTGGGTTCCCTGGAGTCTCATTTTAGGCAGTGTGTTTGCTCTAAATGAGAGAAAAATGGAGTTTAACGTCCACTCGACACAAACAATGGTTCAATTTTATTTCAATAATTCGCGTGCACGTAGGGGTCTTTAGCAGTGGGAGGAAACCGGAGAACCGGAGATAACCCACAAGGTTGGACAGGCGACCCTCCTTGTCAAGTACAACCGGGGAATCGAAACCACGCCAGTTGACTCAATGACAGACCTTATGATACAGCGCGCACGTGCTAACCATTCGGCCATCCAACCCCCACCCCATTTCTGCTCAAAACAAGGCGTCTGTTCTTTGGTGAGAAAAAGCTCAAGTGATGTTAAAATGAACACAAACTTCTTAAATATGTCGTTAGGCCTTAATGTGAATGAGAGAATGGACTAATTTTAATTAGAAAGAATGTGTATACAGAAACATAACAATAACAAATATAAATGACTAATCGGATCGATCGTCGTCAATACAAACTCCACAGTCTGAAAGATGTGACATCAAATATTATACAAACTGAAAAATGGAATCATACGGCCAACGATATAATAATATTTGATATAATTAAATCGTAATATGTACATTTAAGATATATTATTTCAGTATAATACTTAATATAATATATTGAGTAATATCTTGATATTATGTTGGTGTTATACTTTACAAAGTCCAATGTCAAAATTTAGTTTCTAACAATACTTGATAAAATTACATATCAACATCTTAGTTTTACAACTTGGATACAGGATAACATTAATAACAATACCCATAGCATTATCACAATGTGTCAACATGCGATAAATATCTCCACATTATCTTAAATTGTGATTGCTAAGAAAGGATATGGAGGTGTATATAGACTTTAATGGCTTAAAGGCCAATATTGTGATTGTTCTATTTGGCCAGTACGTATGCATAATCTTTAGACTTCTTCTTTTGCGTTGCTGTATATCGCTGATGTGCTGTAGTATGCTGTTGTTGCTGAAATGAGATAAATAACTCTATTATAATCTGTTTATCTACCTTAAAGAGGTCAATGCGTCTTTTGATTTAGGTTAAAATAAGATGTAGAATACAATTGGTTTGATCTGTATCATTGATGCGGTAAGCTCCGTTTAATTAAACTTTATTCCGAAATATAAAATCAGTTATATCTTTTGCGACTCAATCCTCGAAACTCGAATTTTACATGTAGACAGTACCAACTTCATAAAAACAAATCAATACACAAAACAAGGTTAATTAAATTGACAATATTATTTTTTGTGCAATCAAAGAAGGTTGGTGATTATAACATTGCTGTTATCCCCACTGTATGTGACGTTCAGAACTTCTATATTTTATATAGAAAATATAATATAAAAACATCACGCACATCTATCAAACACAACAATATAAATATTTATAGTTGAAACCGAACATGTATTGAAAATTTTGATCATTTTTTTCACACTTTGAAAAAGATACTATTGAACATTCAGTGTTAACGTATTTAGATCTTTGGGGAAAAAATATCCCTTCATTATTCAGACAAAATTTACAAAAAAAAAGAATCAAGCAAACCACAGACAATAATTAGCTGACTAGTTTAAACATGCAAGGACCAAATCTGCCTATTATAGTAGTCCTGAAATGTTATCTAAATTATTAGTTAGACACTAATTAACTGATTCAGGCCATAATCAACTCTCATAGTTAGCCTGCGATCTTTACTGGATTTGAATACATTTTGTGGTGGATAATTTAGCGTTATACTGGATAATCGAGACTGTTTATTATAGAACTAACGTTAGTAATGATGATCGAGGCTAGCCTAAAATTAAATCGTTCATATCTCGGTTCAGAGTGAAGTAATTTGACTGAAATTTTTGAACTATTATAGCGAGGACTGTCAACTCTTTATCTAATCTTACCTAATGCCCTTTAAGGAAACATCATGGGCTAGTACGTTTTATATCGGACTATTTCTGAGAATAAAATGACAGAGACAGACTGTTCATGCTACTACTGTCTTTTTCACTGAGACTCAACAATAGATAGATTTACTCTATACAGACAAAACGAACAACCATATTTCATATAGCTTACCACCTCCCTTGCCCTCCTTTTGCAATATAAGAAACACAAAATCAGTTTATGTATAGCATGCATTAATCAGTAGACATATTATTACGTAATTGATCGACTGATCCAATTCCTTCATTTATCAAAGTGACATTGCGTCATTTGCATTTTTTGCTAAAATGTCGAATTTCTCACGACTAAATCCAAGCTATGTACTCAGATTGATTATTTAGCATTTAATTAAGAAAACAAAGTCAAAATACCAACGCTAGATAATCTCCCAGTTTCGATTCAATCGGATTTCAAACAGGCCCATCAGGTTTCTCCGCTACCAATAAAAGATGGCTGGGTCTTTTACATGGCATGCAGCATAGATTGATGAAATTTCAATTAATCATTACTTTGTCAATACTGAATAGAATTGAACCATTTTTGTCTGTTATTCCTATTAGAGATTAAATTTTCACAACACTGTAATCTGTAAGGGATTTCTATTGCGCTATTAAAATGGCGCAGTGGGAGTTTATCTCTGAAACAGACCATGCTCTTTCCTTACAAAAACAGAAGTTCTACTAACCTGATTTCTTAGAAGACGATTTTTTGATTCTTCTGTACGAGCTAAAGAATACTGTGACGTCTCTGTCTTCTGTTTCCCTGGAACTTTCCTCGGCACTCCTCCCGGTATTCTATCATAATACTCGCCCTGTTTAAAAATAATAACATATTACCAAATAAATCACGCTTTCATCCTTAAATCTCATTGGTCAGAAATCGGTGCTCATTTCACCATGGGCATGTTCCGGGACTTGTTAAATGAAGCTTCTAGAACAGTAAACTTGAGGCATTTATTATTATATATATGCACACACAGTATGCTTGCGTAGTATCCGTTTTTCATCGTTTCATAAATAATCATTAGTAGATGTAAACACACGTTCTACCTGAGGTTGACCTACAGTATAGGCTGTAATAACCCAGCAAAGAAATCTATAATTATAGGGCTTGTTTGGCATATAAACTACTTTTTTGGCGTATGTACAACCCACGTAAGGGAATATTGTTTACTGTATTACGAGAGGATATTTCTGATTGGTGCTTATATGGACCGGATAGTTATTACATGAAGCACGTTGCGAATAATTGAACATATGTATTAAAGTTAAAATATATTTACATTTCCTTGCTCTTCTAATATATGATACACGCCTTGCGTCATCAAACCTGCATAATCACATTCTCCTGTTTCCTGTAAACAACATGAAATAAATTAATTCCACCTCACTGAAATAAGCCTTGATCAGGTTAAAATAAAGTAATAAATTCGGTGATCTCAAGTGTGATGGCAGAGGCTCTTTGGGATTAATTTTTCAAAATATTAAGGAAAGGTCCGTTTGTCTACAAATTTTAGTTTTATTTTTGGACACAAGAACAGTTAAATCATAATCGTGACTGTATATATGACATAAAATCTCAATATCAATAGATATTCACTCCATAAAATACATATTACCTCATCAATTTTTATTCAAATCTAAGAGATTTTTTCATATTACAACGTCAACAATATGGACAGAATCAAACTATACAGGAAAAAAAAGGTTCTTGTAATATTTAAAGTATGATAACCTTATCTGTAATATATATATAAACCAGGGAAATGTGTGAACTTACTTGACCACATGGTTCTGTTAAGTACCCATCATAATTTGATATGTGATTCTATAAGGAAAAAGAAAAACCAAAACTGTATTTTTTGACAATTTAATTCAAGGAATGGAAAACGGCACAACATACACAGCTATGTCCGTGAACACGTCCGATTCCCACTCTGGGTGGATGTTCCAATTCTTACATCCTTGGAGCAAAACATGTTATCTCGGTATTTACGTTTACCCGAGGGCTAATTGGTAGGGTAGTGCGAGGTAAACGTACTGTAGCAGTAGCACGAAAACTTTTATAACAAAATGACCCCTTTAGCATGGTAAAAACATCACGGTATGTTTTGTGTGCTAAGCCGGGGGCAAGTCGCAGAATAGTGTTTGGGTGGTTCTTTAATATTTGTTTTATAAATCCGGCATTAAATTCAAATGTATGGTCCGTATTTTACATAGACAACGAAGCTTGGACTTCCGGTAAACCCACGTTAACTATCCATGGTAGGCATTGAGCTCTGCTTGTCGTATTATAGATGATTGAGACTACATATTGTCATCAACCGTTTTAATACTTCCGGCCTGGGGGTTAATCAAATTCCTAGTATGGGTGTGACAAGTAAACTGGGGAGAACGCAAAATACCAGTGCCAGGTCGCTCTGAGGCACTTAATACATAATGTAGATCTGTCTTGAAACGGCATGGCTGTTCTATTATACGTTATCATCCTCGGTGAAAGCGGACTTTAAGCCCTAGGATCGAACAAACGAAAGTGTTATGGCTCTATAATTTACCTCTTGGTAATATTGGGCAAGATCAAGTAACGTGCGGTGAACTTTTTTCTCACCAACAATTATAAACTTTCCATTAGGCAGCTGATCTATCATATAATGACGACATCGGTCTTCAACCCTGGAAAGAAAAACCATAAAAAGTCAGTATTTGGTTGGTTAAATCGATTAGAGAATTCCTACACCCTTTGGCTATCATAATGTGTGCGACGCCAAAAAGTTTCTATAACACATTTTATTGTGCGGTATGAGGATATCATGGTGTGCTGTGAGTACATGTTGTGTATCCATGTTGTTTGTAGAGTTTTGTTTTTAGATGGAGTTATCCTGGGTGGTACAGTTCTGTTACTGTTGTTTTAATTATTGGGGGGTGAACATGTTGCGTAGGGGTGTTTGGGTAGTTCATGCGCTGTGGAGTGGTCATACGCGGTGAGTCCATAAAACATATATTTACCTGAATGATAGAGAATAACCAAATCTGCTCTCACTAACCCGGATTAAAAAACAACCAACTGGTTTATGTTTCAATAATTTTTCAGCATGACTAAAATAAGAATTACATTATAATGAACATTTTATAAATTAAATATTAACACTTGTAATCAGACGTTTAGTGTTAATCTGTACTTTTACAGTTCATGAGACATATTTTATCAATTCGCATACAATAGTAATTAAACCAATCAAAAGTGAGGAATCAGCTGGACCGTTACCCATGCCATGTCAATATGTACCATGCTAATTCAACTACAGAGATAGTGCGGTCACGGCTACAGTAAATTACTATGTGTAGATTGACCGGACGTAGCGATCGTAGAGATTGGTGTTATGCCTGTAATCGAGAGTGCAGCACTCAACAACCCAACAGAACAGCAAACACAACGCACGTAATGCCGGAATACGCCGAACGTTAAGATGAAAGAAAAAAAAAAAACAACAACAATGTCACAGAACGTTTGCAATACTCGCTCACCTTCTGGAAATGACGCCATGGAACCATTCTACAAAAATACCCCCGGATTTATCAATTAATTGATGAACTTGTGTTTCTTCAAACCATCGTTCTGTGGCTTGTTTTGTTCCTGGTTTACCGTATTTATCATTCTTATTAATTTGAACAAACTCGTCTCCTAATATATCATCTGATCCCGAACTATCACCCTCCTCCATCTATAGAAAACATGTACAAAAAAAATACTCATAACAACAATTTTTAAAATATCTTCCATTAAGTTGTTCTCACTCAGGTCTATAAAACAATTAGACGAAACCGACGATTCCACATAAACCAAGCGTGTTTTGCATTATTGGTTTGAAAAAAGTAGTTCGGTTGAATCAAAACAAATTGTAAGATGTAATAAAACCAGGTCGTACTTATTTTCCGGAACAAAGGCTAACACTTGCGACAATTAGTGTGTGACAGCAATAGAAAGTGTGGACAATATCAACATTTCTAACAATCTAATTAAGATTACAATTTCGTTTCGCTTATTTTTCTGATCTTGACAATACTACACCAAAATACACGAAACGAAATTGACATCTGATTTTAAAGAAGTATACTTTCAAAGTGACAAAAGGAAAACAACAGTTGTCCGCCCATCGAAAAAAGAAAACTATTGGTTCTTAACAAACTTTTGTTTCACTAACCTGTGTACCCTGTGTGCATAATGTTTTGAGGTTAGAATCACTTTGTATTCCAATAGAAGAACTGTGTTTAGGCTCCGGTACATCTGGTAATGGTGGTGGTACGATACCACCGCCGCCATATTTAATTTTTGCTGAGAAAAAAAAACAATGACAGACAGTTTGAGAAATATGTCTTTTGTGTCCAGAAGCAAAATGAACAACAGTATTTATATACAGAACAAAGTTTGTACAAAATATATTGGATGCATAAAACAATTGCATACATTACATTCTATTTCATTAATTCATCATAATTCGAACATAAATCTTTAATTTTATTCAATGTATTTTCACTGCATATACCCGACCGATAAATAATTCTAATCGTCTCAATAAAAATCACAATTTAAGGGATACATAACAAGAACATAATCGTTGCAACATTAAATTATCGTAAATTTAATAGTTTCAACTATGCACAATTCCGAAGTTTACATGTACTCCAATCCGAGCATTCCAAGTATTTTTTTTATCAATTGTTAAAGGACAATATTGGTGCCAGTCATTATCACATATGTGATAGAGCTGGTTAAACACATTCCAAATATAATTTTATGTAAGAGATCATTGCTACGATAGCTGAGTAATACAGTTTTTCTGAATCGGAAGTGACGAACGCCAAAGGAAAACACGAGTCGCCTCTCTATATAACTGACTGATGTGACGAATGATAACGGATATACGGGCGAATTTCTGCTCACTAATAATTCCTTTGTAGACCAAAAGTTGTTGTGTGAGACTGTGAAAGGATATCTGACAATTAATAAAAAGAATGACTGTCACTAGATAAGTGAACACGAAAGAAAAACAGAAAAAGTCCGTGCATTACCATGTTTTTATAAGGTATAGAATGAATATAAACAAGGGAATGTACGGACTATTTCTATTTTTCTCGTGTTCTCTTATCTAATGACATTCAATTACTTTATTGAATTGTCAGGTATCCTCTTACAGTCCCATATAACAACTTTTGGTCTCCGAAGGAATTATTAGTGAGCAGAAATTCGCCCGTATATCCGTTATCATTCGTCACATCAGTCAGTTATATAGAGAGGCGACTCGTGTTTTCCTTTGGCGTTCGTCACTTCCGATTCAGAAAAACTGTATTACTCAGCTATCGTAGCAATGATCTCTGAGATAAAATTATATTTGGAATGTGTTTAACCAGCTCTATCACATATGTGATAATGACTGGCACCAATATTGTCCTTTAAAAAGGAAATGTAATAAGTAAACAAACAAACCACAACCATTGTTTCTAGATCTACTTAAGATATAAATAAACTCAAGGTAAAATATATTTCAAATAAGTCTGGTAATATATACCTTGCTTTTTTTTATCCAGATCTTTTTGTTTGACTTCTTGTTCTGCCAAGGCAGCATTCTGTTGTTCTATTAGTAAAGCTAGGGCGGCTAACTCTTTGGCTTCCTTTTCAGCGGCTAAACGGCGCATTTTACATTCACGTCGGGCCAGAAATCCACGCGCAACTGTAAAATAAACAAACAAATACATTTTTATCAAGGTTCAGGGATAACAAGAAATGGTTTCTGGCATAAAATGAAAAATGAAAAATAATGAGGTTTTTGTAGAGGTAATTTCAGCCAATTGGACGAAATTGCTCCCAGATGAGCAACGCACCCACGGGAGCCCGCGCTAAGGTAATCTGCTCTATAGTCTTGTTAAGTAAAACTGCCTTCGTTGTCATTTCTGGTCATTGTTAATAAATCATTTCATTAAAAGAGAACTTGGCCGTAAACGTTTTCAGCTTGGCCTCGCACCCCTTCAACATGGCGATTTTTATGTGTTTTATCAAGATTGGACAATTGGTTGATTTCCGCTTCAAAAAACACCAGGCGGTTACAGTAATGAACACCAATTTGCATGGAAAAACTAGGTTTAACTTACGTTTCTGAAGCTGTATGGCGGCAGTATCAAACTTGGCCAGTATATCAGTCATTTTCTCTATATGATTGTATTTGAGAAAAACTTTAGTTTTCCTGAAAATATACAGTCATTTTCTAAGTTAGATCCAAGAAATTATAGACAGGGTGGACACAATCCCAAGATACTTTATATACACGGGGTTATTTTAATTTTGTTAATGCCATGATATATTTATTATTAACTAATTTACATGCCACTTGTTTACCGATCCCAGAATTGCAAAGTGACAAATGGGACGCTAACTTCATAGATTCTCCTGGAACAAATAGTTCGTAATTTATGTGATGAAAAAAAATAATAGCTTATGATACTATCACCAATGGAAATGTGGCTGTTTAACAAGTGGATGGTGTCCTTTGTAATAACCAGATACAAGCGGTTACCTTGCACGATACGCTCCCAATTTGCAAGAGGTGGACTGAGAACAAGCTAAAAAATGGTTTTGCATACAATCAGGTCCATACTTCAAGATGCTACGATAACTTTTTGAACGAAAATACCAGTTTATATTATTCAGAATTTCAAATAAAAATACTTACCCTACACAATAGCCTGGCATTTTTGTAGATCGTAAAATATCCAGACAATTAGCAGCTGTACCTTGTAACTTGTGTTTGTGTATTAATACTTTATATCTGATAAATAAAAAACACAATGTACATCACATTTTAAATTAAAAGATAAACAACCGAATTGCCAATAAATTATTGTCCATTCTTTATTATTGTTGTTTTTATATATTTGTTTATCATTGTCTATTTATTGCTACTATTGTCGATTGCCCATGTTTTTGTTTGTCTATCTACTATCGATTGTCCATTTTGTTGATGTCTATCGAGTATTGTATATTACCCATTTGTTTGTTGTATATCGACTGTCGATTGTCCATTTCTGTCTATTTATTGCCAATTGTCCATATGTCGCCAGACTTCAATCTATTATGCTTTATTATCTGTCGATTGTCAGTCTGTTATTTTTGATTGCACAACTATCATTTTGCTTATCGAACCCTAGACCTGCACCACTAAAAGTGGGAAAAACCGACTGGTTACTTACTGAGCCATCACGACTCTCGCTATAAGATAGAATATAAGCATAATAATAATATACTAGACAACTTACTTGTCAACAAATTCTTGAAATGTTGGACGTATAGCATAACCTTCTCTTCTTATTTTTGTTGTTTGTAACATACCCGTATATAAAAGCTGCAATGATAAATACAGTTATATTTTGTCATTTTAAAAAGAAAAATCTAGCATGTTTGTATATGATCAATGTCTAGTCCCGAAATGACCTAGTTTGTGTCAAGTGGACGTTTAACCCCATTTCTCTCTATATATACTCAGCCAAATTAAAAACTTGACACTGATGAATTTCAACAATTTTTTTTTCTGGGAAGTCAAATAAATTTTAAAGTGTTTCTAACGATAGTAAGTAGTAAGAAGCCTTTAATTTCATAAAATTGTAAAGTCACGTGGATCAAGTGACTTTTGAGCATATAAAGATGAAAAACCTGAAAAACACGTGCAAACACAAACTCGTGAGGTCAATCGATGCAAGTTTGCTTAAACTGAACACGCACACGTAACTTGAACTGGAAAAACAAATTAAAATTGTTATTTTCATCTTTGTTAGAAAATGCCGCGCCTTTCAAATGTAGAACGTCTACGTGCTATAGGTAGGCTCTATGCTGGTCAGTCTGTGGTCACTGTTGCAAGAGCCTTTAATTGTTCACGCCAGACAATAATGAATCTTACAATGAGGGTGCTTCAAACTGGAACTATTGCCGACCGCCCAAGGGCGGGAGCGCCACGTGTGACGTCACTCCAGGAAGACCAAGCAATACGATTACGTCATCTTAGAAACAGATTTGTCACTGCAACCTCCACAAGTAGAGAGATGTTTGGTGGAAGGGTAACTGCACAAACTGTTCGAAATCGCTTGCAGGCTGCTGGTCTTCGAGCTCTGAGGCCCTATAATGGACCAATATTGACATCTCTTCATCGCCGTAACCGACTTGTGTGGGCCACAAGACACATAAGATTTACTCAAAGACAGTGGAATTCGGTTGTCTTTAGTGACGAATCTCGATTCACTTTGAGATTTGCCGATGGCAGGGTCCGAGTGTACCGCAGACGAGTTGAACGTTACGCTCAAGTATGCGTCAGAGAAGTTGACCGATTTGGTGGCGGCAGCGTCATGGTTTGGGGTTCTTTTTGTGCACATGGACGTTCTCCTCTTGTTGTTGTCAAGGGAACTTAAATGCTGTCCAGTACAGGGATCAGATTTTGCAACCTGTTCTTCCTCCGTTTATGAAGAGACATGGACCTGGACTAACGTTTCAGCAAGACAATGCTCGACCCCATACAGCAATTGCTACCCAGAATTTTTTAAAAAATGCCGGTGTCAAAGTCCTGGATTGGCCGTAGCTTAGCCCTGACCTTAAACCTATTGAACACATCTGGGACGAACAGGGTCGACGTGTTCGTCAGCAAGTGAATCCACCACTGACGTTGCAGGACCTTCAACATGCTTTTGCTGAGCAGTGGCGACGTCTTCCTCGGGTAGTGTTTACTAATGTTCTGAGATCCATGAGAAGACGTTGTGTGGCAGTACGAGACGCTAGAGGAGGCCACAACCGTTACTAAACACTTTATTCCGATTGTTCTCCAAGTCTGTGAATTTCATTTTGGGGGGTACTGTGACATCACGAACGTTATCAATGTCAAGGACTTTCGGCGAGACGTATTCTTGCTTTCTGTTGATGTCAAGGTCGTCTGTGCACAACATAACACTAAAATAGTTGCCTTAAACCAAATATTAAAAATCTAGTCCCAAAAATCCCGAGTGTCAAGTTTTTAATTTGGCTGAGTATATATATAATGAATGTGACTAAAATGATTAAACGTACCTGTTGATTCATATAAGGGATATTGAAATCATTAGCTTCTTTATTATGATTTGGTTTTAAACACCGGACAAATATGGGTGAAGATTTGGTCATTTTCTCCATCAGCATATTGAGAGACCTCTGTAAATAAAAATAGTTTTTAAATTTTAAAGACATCTATAATAAATAATATTATACTGCCGTTACTCTTAAAATCTGAACAGCATATGATAAAACAGTTATCCCTAAAACAATAATTATGGAATAAAACAATTTAAATTACAAAGGCTAGATTTGCCTTCAACTGATATTATTATTATGTAGACCGGTGTCCAAAAACAGATAAAATTGTGTACTATAGCAGTGACTTGGCTAACTTTACCTTAAACTGTGTTCCAACGGTGACCTTCCTTTTCGCATCTCCGATTTCTACAGGACCTTTACGACTTCGACTCTATAAAGAATACAATATCAATATAGTTTGCTTGCTTGTTTTGTTTTCACTATAAGCACTCAAAACGGTTGAACATATAAATTTTAAAGACAGGTGATATTTGGAAATTTAACGAATCATATTTTTTGAACTATTAGACTGATGTTCGAAAAATAAAGTTTTACATTATTTTTGGACAAATTTCTTTCCATCCACAGCAACTTATCCGAGTTTCGGACCGTTTTTTTAACCTCATAACCAGTTTTTACAAGAATTTTAATGGTGCTGTTTAACGACAAAATTGTCAATGTATAGTGTCAATTTTGCCCTTCATGACAAAACATTTATTATTATTGGGTTGTGGGAGTACAAGATGTTTGTGCCCTTGAAACGACCCATTCAATATTTATGTACAAAAAGCCGTATGAAAAAAGCAAGATACCCACCTTATTGTTTCTAGAGCGAACTGATCGACGACCTTGAAGAGCTAATGTACCAGTTCTTGATATCTCAGCTGAAAAACACATATAGGTCCATTAAAATATCTTGCTGTGTTCCCTAAATTGAATACCCTCTATAGTATTCAAATTTGATTTCAACTACAGGAAAAAAAAACGACCACCCATGTTTCAAACTTTAAAATAAAATCTCACCTTTAAATAATGTTTTAACAAGCTGGTTTTTACTGTCTTTCAATAATTCTACAATACCAGCAGGCATTGTATCTCGGTTCTTTTCTAACCACTGTGTAGCATCGTACATTACCTAGAATAATAGTAAGATTATATACCACCATGTCAAGATAATAATGTACTTTGACTGCATTAGCTGACTTTTGTCATAGTCTGTCATGCAGAATTCGGACGTTAAATAAAGCCATTTCACACACAACATACAACAGTATATTAATGCAGAAAATGAAATCATCTTTTAAAAACTGTCACCAGAATAAATATTAGAATCAAGAGGAGACCATAAAGGATCTTGGCAATGTCAGTTTTGTCAGATGTAATGATTTTTAAAGATGGGTATGATTGGTGCGTTCAGCATGTTTCAGCATGTCATGACCAATCTAAATTCAAATAAAGTAATACTGATGGTTAAATGAGCATAAAACAACCTAGATGATATAATCTTAAATCAGTATTTATTCATTATTCTAAGAAACAATGATTGAAATATATGTCATAACTAATCTACTTTTTAAGGATAGCCTATGAAAACCAGCAACAAATACGCGATGTAAACTGGTTTATTTCAAATTGGGTTCTTTAGTGGCAGATCATCAGCTCATGTCATCACTGGAGGACACACCCTCAATAAAACAGTATAATTATATGAAAATAAATATATGTAGTAGACAACAATAAACAATTCCTCCTCTTCTAATTGAGATATGGTGGATAATAACACGCGACTGTAAGAAATTTATTTTTTTTATAACAGTTCTGCTTCAATAAAGTTTTACTCAGGTGACAGGTAGAACACTGTCACCGTGTTTGAAAGATCATTGTTGAGACTGTACTGGCTTTTTTTTTTGATGTTCTCGTCATTGAGGAAGTGTATTCTATCCTTTTCCTTCAGTATTGGATATAATTTGTACAACCTGTCTATACAAACTTCGCCAGGTTAATGTATTTCTTTAGTATATGATTTCAGTTTTAATACTTGAAACTAATGGGAGAAACAGACCACTCTATGTCACAATACCTTTTATATATGATAACATGATACACTCATAAAATGGAGTACAAGAGTGCATTACATGAACCGACGGATAGGGTATAGAAATAATATTGGATGTTAATATGATGTATGTCATACTTACTTTGCCAGCATAATGGTTGATAGAGAAACATGGTGGTGAACTTTTCTGTGATTTCTGATAATGATCATTTTTACTTATACAATGATTTAACTTTTCAACAAATGTCGTATCTGTAGCCTGGAATATAGATATTAAATGAACAATTTGTAAGAATGTGCTCACAAGTAATGGAAATTATACATGTTTACACTTTGATATACCGTTTTTAAATTTCTTATGGAAATACAATCTAATTGTTTCTTTATTTTCAATGGTTCTGATTTTAATTGGAACCAGGTAAAATATAAAACGAATGAAATTGCGAAATGATTTTTCAATTGTATCATAACTCGACCAGTCATCTTGTTTGGCATTACACCAGACAGGTAAGCAATGAGTTTGAACAATCCAACGGCAGTATTCGAGTCTAGGGCATTCTATTCGTATATCATCTGGTAGCAGGCCCCTCCTAAGCATATGACAAATATATTTACGATTTGAACCACTTACTTTGGGAAACCGACATTCTTCATCTAAAAGAGCGAGGATACCTATTGGTTTTACAAGGAACAAATCCTGCAATCAAAGTAAAAATCCAATATATACATATATATCTTTCTTATTCAAATGTCTAAATATAATAGCTAATTGGTTCATTCATTTTGACATGTCCATTGATATGTCCATAAACTCTTGCCAGGTTTGAACTCATTGTGCATATTACTGTTTTAGGTTAAATTTACATTGTATGTCTTATATACATGTACAGTCTGATCTGTAATGTTGGACTGTTTGACAGGACTATTTTTAACATTTTATAAGAAAACATAATAGATTGCGTATGCTTGATTTGATTATTGCTAACAACACTGTTTGAATTGTATGTGTTTTATACAATACGATCAGGAAATATTTCCAAACCACTAACAATCAGAAATGTATAAAAACCTCGGGCTCCTCTATTCAGTTTATTATAATTCAATGTTTACTGTGATAGTACTTTTGTTAAGTTGTCCTTAGTTAGAACTTAAGACGTTACACGTATATATGCTTGTATATTAAGTATATTACAAATATTGTTCTTACCAATAGAGGTTTATTGTCTATAAATGGAATTTCTGTCCAACCAATACCTTCTTTTATATATTCTTCTTGTTCCATTTTAAAGATATGCTAAAATCATTAAACATATTTTTTTATAACATTTAACAAATTCTACACAATTTTCATATTGAATACAAGAAAAGAATTACCAACAATTCACAGGGTCAATGTTCAATATATTTTGCTGCTCAAAATGAAAAAAAAAAACCCCAAAACTGTCAACATTTTTATTTATTGCTGTACAATGTATTTTTTTTTTGCAACTCAAACAAACAATTTCAATGTTGTGTCCATCTTTCTTTTTACAATATGCTCCAATACACACGATCACTAAAGCCTCGAGTTCATCTTTTTTGACTACATTATCCATGACGTCATGGATGGAAGAGAATTATTCCTCCGGTTGCTCAGCATATTGTAGCATACCTGATTGAAGAAGAACTGTAACTGTTCATTAGCTAAATTTATGCAGGCTTGTTCAAAACTGTTCTTTTCAAAATGTTCAAATCCAAAAATATCCAATATACCTACAAAGAACAAATAACAGAGTTGTTATTACCGGCAATGATCATGACTGATAATAGTAATAAGCGAAATAAAAATGTGCTTGTTTTCTTAAATCTCTCCGGAATATTCTGCAACATGAAATCAATTCCTAAGCTAATTTGACAATTATAATATTTGATCAAACATCTAAATGAAAAAGGTTTTTTTTATTGCTTTTGTCTATGTTTAAATACAATTATTAACACAGTCTAACTATCGCCAATCTGATTGAAATAAGGATCTGTATTTCGTTTTCTTTTTTTATACTTTCGATGACCTACACTATATCTTGTGAAGATAAGTAAAACGAAATTTTGAACTATAAAAACGAAACGAAATATGATCTGTCTTTTAATCAGATTGAATTATCGCTTACCTATTTCTCTGATATCACTATTTTTCTTATAGTCTGGTGCTAAGAGCTGGTTGACTTTATTCACAATCCATCCAAATACTCGACCATAGATAGCTTTAGATAGAGCATCTCGACAATCTGTCATGATAAACAAACATTGTATTCTTATTATTACTTACAGTTAAACATCTATACGTCGTACTTCAATGGCCCATGCATTTTTGTTCGAGAAAAGTACACTTCAAGTAAACCATTTTGTCAAAATTTTGCTGCCATCTTTGTTAAGATTAGGGATCTGGGCGTTTATAACGAATTCGATGGATAGCCGCTATTTAAAAGAATGCATACACCAGTATTTTCATTAACAACACACCTTTTTTGGTATGATATAGGGGATCCTTATTAGAGCTGTTCATAAAATGATATTTCTATCAAAGTACTTAAATTATGTACCTTCGGCTTTCTCTTTAGAATAGTTGATTTTAATGTATTCTCCCTTAGTTACTGTTACCATGGAAGTTAAACATTCGTTTAATTCTTTTTTATTGATTGATAGTAGATCCTGAAAAATAGTCGAAGGCAATTCTGTAATATTTTCAAGAAAAATTATTCATATACTCAAATCCATTATCATAGCAATGGCATAATATATGAAGTATTAATCAATAATATTTATTTATTTACTTTTTTACTTACCGTGGCTTTATTCAGAGGGTCAGCTTTGGAAACAGTTGTAACGTCATTTTCATCGGTTTGAAATGAAATATTTCCCAGATGCAGAACGCTGGCCACCATTTGAAAAAGACCAAGTTGTTCCTGAAAGGGTATCAAATTTGCTTCAGTTAGAAAACTAGTTGAAAACGTATACTATCTTGGCGAATGTAGTTTTCCCCGCGTCATCTAATGTCTTTTGTCCGAATATGTGAAGATACATAGCACGTAAAATTATGTTTTATTTATGAAAATATGTATCAAAATAACAATCACATCATCGGGAGACAATAAACATGGTAATTCTGTGATTACATATATTGCCCTAACAGTCATAAAATCCTATCATGGTCAATGGAAGAAGACATTATTTGATTAACTCACCTCATCTGTAAAGCCAACTAAATCTAAAGCGTTTATCAATTCCTTATACTGATTCTGTAAAAACGGGAGGTTGTTTCTTAAAGAATTTATCCCATTTGAGAGGTATCTGAAATAAATATGCAAATATGAGATAATGAATAAAAGTAGGGGGTTTTGTTTTACTATTTGTTTGCTATTTGTGTTTCGTCCGGCATTTCTTGAATAAAAAATATATTATTTAATATTGCAAGTATGTGTTATATTCTATTTCCGGTTATCAACTTGTGGAGATGGGTGTGAATGAATTTGAAGTAGGGCTGCTTGTCAGTTGGGAATTTTTGTTTAAATGGGTCGCCAAACGTAATTATTTCAATGACTGACTATAATTATTAAAGTCTATATCTGTAATAATATATGAAGACAATACCTGTAATTTGTTGTGGCGGCTAGCTCAAATTTATTGCTTTTCTCCAGTGATTGTCCGGCAAATAAGTAATAAAATATATGAAAGTTTTCGTCTTCTTCATGTTGACCTACTACACGTGACTTCTCTAAAAGATATTCAGATATCTTGGCACCTTTCACTATAAATATAGAATTAATGTACATAAAGTCTTCCTTTATTTCAATATGTGATTAAAATGGATGCAGGGACCGAAAGTCAGGTGGGTTTTAGTCTGCTTTTCATTGAACATAAATGTGAATTCCTGTAGTCTTTTAAGAAATGAAATGAGGTTTAACATTCTACTGTTCTGCCCGAGCTGTTCTAATGAAGACGGGCATATACCATGCAGTGTGCTATGAGGGAAATTGTGTATGGGCAGCGGCACTATGGCCTAATCTCATATTGAATTCCAACTGTCAAGGTATCTTTTATACACGGTCCCCTGCGAAGGACTAGACAGCCGTCCTTGTCAGGCCCTCCGTACTGTACCACTGATAATAGGAAACCACTTCGGAAAATCCCGATGAACTTTCTCGGTCAATGCATGGATCGAACACGCGACCTCCAGGCTAGCGAGCCAGCGTTAGTCTTTTAAGGTTAATGCTTATAAATGGTATGTTGATCCGAGGTGGTCGGGTGGTGCGGGGTCTTATTCAATTAGCTACCTTAAAGAAACTAAATTTCCATTCTTTGGCAACTAGAAATGGACATAAATGGGCCACAACACATATAATAAAGTAATATGAATGTATATAAATTGATTTACATTCAATCGTTTCTGTTTTTACTGTAAATTCTAGTCCAAATTCAATGGCAGTCCTTGGTGTCTGGTTAGTCCAGTCTACACCGATAGTATTCTCCTGAAGGGTATGTTTAGCCTCTTTCATCGAGTCGCTCCATTACAAATGGCGCTCGAAATCATTCTGGCACGCGTTTCGTGTGCCAATTTTAAAATTTTCATTTTGTCTTAGATATTGAATATCAGAAGCCCATCTTTTCACGGTAAGATAACAACATCAATGTTGATTTAAATTGACCAATAAGTCGTGTTTGCAAAGTCGACAACTGTGGATGATATTGCGTTAGAATCTTGTCTCCTTTAAACTTAACTCACAACCTTCAGGCATAATGTCCTCGTAAATCTAGGCGCGAATGGTATGTTATGAGAGAATATCTCATCAACTTTAAGGGGCAGTAGTGTAAGATGAGACATATGCACTTGTTGTAAAGAAATAGGTAACAGGATGAAAGGCGATAAATAACAATTTAGTATGGCCCCAGAAATATGATGAATAATCAGACATGTATATCAAACAGACGAGATAAAAAAAAATCAACAACACTATCTTCTTCCTGGTCCCATCGTGTGACATAGTCATATAAAACGCTATTATATATTCTATAGGCCGTGCTTATTGTAGGTTTTACAGTAAAATGTTGAATACCGTACCAGACTTAATCAAATGTCATTTGATCTTCAGGAACGAAACAAAAACCATTTTATTATATGTCTATGAGATGGTAAATCCAATTAACATTTATAGACAATTTCTCCCGTTTTTTGTTTGTTGGATGTCTGCATGCCGAACATAGAAGCTGGAATATCTCACATCTCGGTTTGAAATTAATATTGAACTCACCTTTGCCATCTTGAAACCGTAACTGGATGTATTTGCCAAATCTACTGGAATTATCATTCATCTGAGTTAAAGCATTACCAAACGCCTCGAGTAGGGGATTCACCTGTTTCAAAATAATAATCTACTATAGCATAATGTATCAAATATATGACTGTGCTCAATCAAAATATATATACTATAGCAAAGGAATTAGGGATGTTTAAATTACTAAATTTGATTTCTAAGAGGGGTATTGATGGGGGAGGTTCAATTAAGCACAAAATAAGTACATGTTAGAATTAGTGTCACATGTGAGGGCGGAGCCACGTCCCACGGTGGCTCAGTGAGTAAGACGTTGGCTCGGTAACTTGGAGGTCCCGTGTTCGATCCCTGAGTTGGCCGAGAAAGTTCATCAGGGACAATGTATAGTGGTTCAGTGGGACGAAAAACCGAGGTCAAGTTTAGACATTGGCATGCAAGTAAAGGGTCCCTTGGCAGTTGGAATTCGATATAAGAGTAGACCGTTCCACCGCTGTTTGGGCAAAACTTCCCCCATAGCATGTTGTATGTCCCAGTCGGAGCAGAACAGTAGGACGTTAAATCCCATTGCATTTAATTTCAGAAGGCAAATGTTTGCGTATGACTTTTGTATTCATTTGGGATAATAGTGGGACATACCTGTAATATTTGTTGTTCTAGTTGACTAGTACCATTACATAATTCTATTAACTGCTTTATAATCAACTTAGTACTTTCTGTTTTACCAGCACCACTTTCACCACTGAAGTTATAAATATAACATGAATAAATAGTTCTAATTAACGGTTGATAAATGAGACACAGACATACAGTATAATACAGAATCACCAGGTATCGTTTTTCAAGATCCATTGAAATTGCTAATGATCCATGTAATAATAATCTAGTTTAGATATACAGAATAAAGGTAGGCAAAATATATCAATTTATGATTGTAATAATATACACAATCCTTGACCTAGATACATACATGCATCAACAGTTGATATATTATTATAAAATTGTATTTAAAATGGCTAGACTCTTTGAGTTGGGTCTAAAATACAATTATTGATTTTATATATTTATGGTTTATATGTTTTGTGAGATAACAATATTTCTTTGGTGAAAATGTTATGCCTGAAGATAAAGCCAGTGTTGAGACACTGCCTATTTTGTGTTCCACTGTCGACACAGTAAGTTTGAAAATGAAATTAAAATTAATCTTTCGAAATAAAAGGTTATTCAGATACCACTTACCCAATCACGAATCGAAATAATACACCAGATCATCCCATCTCAATACTCTTTTGACCAATATCATAACATATAGGCCTCGCTCTGTTTAGACAGGTGTCATGTACAAGGTATACCGCCAGCTTTATGGCTAACAAGTATTTGACCATGATCAAAAGTGTTTAGTTCTTATGGGCATCTGTTTTGACGCGTGTCATACACAAAGTATATCACTGGGTGTTTCCAGAACACGTCCTATCACATAGCTAACAATTATTTGTGCATATTAATATGACAAACCGGGATATAAAGATAAATATACACCTAGCTTATTTTAAAGAAGCATGAGGATGATTACCTGATTAATATACACTGATCTGCTGGTAATAATCCACCTTGTCCTATCATAGATTGAAACGCCATATCAGCCACGGCATATATATGAGGTGGGTTGGCACTCTTCTTGGCCATTTTATACATTTCTGATTCCTATTGTTATAAAACATACATGTTAATGATATTTGGTAATTGTATATTTAGTTTTAAAATTCACTGTAAATAAATAAAGGATGTGTAGACCAAAGTTTCATCGAACGTCTGTCGAAAAAATCAAACATATTGCATATAATCTAATTTAAATTTATTGACGCTTTAAATCAGGACAATAATATGATACTGTACATCATTAAACTCAAAGAAAATTGTTACCTTTTTTCCATAGATGCCAAGATCTTTAAAGGGGTTAACTGCAATTAATATATCTCCAACGTACGTCTACAAAATAAAGTTCATAATAAATATAAATGTGTACTTCTAATTTCTATGATCCTTTGCCAGGACGTATATTGCCAGAGAGTTCCGCATAATCTTCGAAAAATCCAGACTGTCAATGAATCTTTGATGCGTTCGCGACCAATGTGATAAATATTACTTGTCTACGTGTAGGTGGGGGTGTTGTTTCTAGAGTAAAATTTCCACACCAGACACTTCTTTGTGCAGCAATTTCCATTCCAATAATTCTTGAGTAACTCTGTTGTTTGTTGTTTTTCTTTTTATTAAGTTCGCAGACGTTAATTGTTTTACTGGAATCAATATTAATATGGTTTATTGTTCATCTTAGGAACAAAACTCTCCTTGTAAGGAATACGAAATGGCGGAACGCGTTGCCATAGGTATCGTTGCTATACGTAGGTAAAATGTAAAATATTTTGTTTCGATGTAATTATTTATTATTCTTCGTATAATCGTTTTGTTGCATTATGTTTAAATACAGGGGTGACAACAATCGATTCCAGTTTCTTTTTATAGTTTGTAAAAAGTATAATTTGTAAACGCAAACTAAAATCACAAGATAAAACATCAATCAATATGATGGAAAACATGCTGAAATAGACAGCATAAACTGTAATATGCGGGCATTACTAATAATTGTGTGCTTTAATGACGCCAATGATGGATTGTCTTATAGTTTATAAATGATATATTGTTTTATACTTATCAATCAATTATGACAGACGGTTAAAGTAGTTAATAAATATTGTTCAGGAAGGGAGTTTAAACATGTATCGAAATAGCAAAATATAGATACGAGTTGATATGGAAATGACAAAAAGCTATTTATGGTTTTAAAAAGCAGTGCAATATTGTTAAGTCATGTTTTGGGCTTGATCAGCTTCTATATTTGGCACTGTGTATTCATATCCGTTAACAGGGAAGGTGACTATTATTCGTTCAACAAATCGGTTTTCTGTATAAAATCACCCCTTACTCAATATAGGTGATGGATATTTCTTAATTCAATTGCATATAATATAATGTATTATATCCTATACTTGTTCTCTTTTTATTACCTAATTGTGTGCATGACAAAACCACATACAACCAAACGTCTACCTCTGGAATTTTTGAAAACTAAATAATCTACGTTTTATCTGTGGGTAGTCAATTAGAAATATCCCATATTTAATATCAAAATGACCTATTCACACCTTTATATCAAAAGTTACATATTATTTATCTCAACAAGGAAGTACCTATTCCTGTCTAAATTGATAAATAGCACGGTATGAAAGATAATCCTCAACAAATAATTATATCTATACTTGGTGCATGTTCGTCAACTGTAAGGATAATGTTATGCTCATATAATTGATGGTGTTCATATAGACAGATTTATCAAAATATTTCACAGAACAAATTCCTGACACACTTAACACGTAGGTATAGAAAGGAAATTTTGAATCTGGTAAAAGGAACATAAACTACGAAAGGTGTATTTGATCCAAGTCGGGAAAACAATATAAAAGGGGGAAAGAGGAACTCAGATATACAGTTTTCCTCTTAATTACACACGGCGTTGTCATAACATGAACCTTTATGAATACAAAATAAGGAAAGTATAATCTTAAAGAAATGTGGGGAACTATAAAAAATATACAGTAAATTCAGAAGCCAAACAAGTTATCTATAATAAATATAAGAATATCATAATTTTGTTTAGTATTGCCTACTAGTTATACGGATAAGTTACGGAGCTTTCATTGGGTTCTGGTCCATATGCCTGCGGCTTAACTTTTTTAAATGCCCCCAACAATATCGGTTTAATTAAATTGTGCTCCGAAATTATTCGAATCGATCATTTCTAACTGAAATAATGACCATTTAAATTTAAATTGATCACAAGTGATTTCACGCCTCCATCTTCATGTGTCTACGATAAATAAAATAATAATTAGTACGATATCTTTCTCGTGTTCAGGTCATACCATTCTTCTTGAAGGTTTATACCCGGGTGCGCTTAATTACATAATACGAACACCCTTTACATTTAAATAGTACCAGCTTTAACTTTTGAGACACGTCAATGATCCAATGGCCTTTAAAAAAAGAAGTCTCGAATATTATGATTTATATGGATGAGTGGAGCTATCACTTTTACATGTTTGATTGGATGACCCGAGATGACTTTTTGAAGCTCGATATACATTCACAGCATGTTAACGTGGTATTTTGTCAGTTCAGGGGTGACCCTCCCAAAACGTGACAAAGTAATATCCACTGTTGAACTAAAATAACTTATACAGCGGTAAAATACATCGCAACACATGTGTGTTTGGAGTGTTTCCACGGTTTATAGCAATACTGCTCTATTATTCGGTGTATATAAAGTACAATTTCGGTTCAAATTATCAGATAGCAATTAAACCTGGTTGCATTTTATGATAGGTTCGGGTTTAATGTTGTCATTACTTGTCACATCAAGTGTAATATTATATAATTTAACATAACTTTAATTATGTTACCTATATCTGTAATTAGGTCCTACACGCCACTGATACAGTCGTATATAGCACAAATGACAATACAATACAATGTACATATTGTCTCTTCGACTAAGTGTCTTTTGGCGACTGAATAGAAATGAAACAAAATATTATCCAAAACGAAAAACAGAATCGGATGCTCGAATTTAATTTGATGTATCTTCTAATTGAAAACGCTGTTAGAAGTTTGGATATTAATGTAAAAAATAAATAAAGCTTTATGCCCAAGCTTAAATTCGAACTTCAAGCAGATTTATAAATTAAGAGAATGTTTCCTCCCGACATGACACAAAAGACTTTGTCATGACACAACTCCCATTGATCTTACTTTATAACGTTCTGTTATCTGAATTGTCGTAATGCTATAGTGAGGGTCCCATTACAAAATTAATATCAGCATGTTCTGTAATTTGTTTATAATAATTTTCCTCCGATAGATACATATTTGTTCCTGAGATGGTTATAAAATGATATCTGTGTAAATAATCTATTTTTTTCAAGAGCGTCATTGACACAGTAGTATTAAAGAAGAGCCCAGGTTTTGGAACCCTGATTTACACCAACATTCTAAAGTCATGATGTTTGCCAATAATATCGATCGCAGATGGCATTAATGTAGGGTCATCGGGATTTTCCGACGTGGACGGAGGGCCTGACAAGAACAGTTGTCTAGTCGTTCGGATGGGAGGAAAAACCAAGGTCCCGTGTATACATTGACGAGCTCGTAAAAGATCCCTTGGCAGATGGAATTCAATATAAGAGTAGACCATAGTGCCGCTTCCCGGGCCAAATTTCCCTCATAGCACACTGTATGGGGTATGCCTGTCTTCATTAGCCCAATCGGAACAGAACAGTAGGACGTTAAACCCCATTTCATTATATTTCATTTCATTGCACTGATGTAGTGGAACTGAATTTGAGCCAATTCGCGGAGTTTGATATCATAAAATTAATTAAACCTCGGCATATCAGGATACTAGCTACCAGTACAAAATATTTGGATAATATCACCATACCATTGATAATATAGAGAGATCAAGTTCGGGTGAAACAATACCGTGGGTCATAAAAATATTATTGATGTTTGAAATTACTTTAAAACAATAAACGATATCTTAGCTACACAACTCTCAAAACTGTGCCCAATAGCAAGATAGTGTATGTCTAGGGTGACATATAGCCCGCAGGTTTATCTAGCAAAGAATTTAGATCTGCGGATATCATACAAGTTAGTTAATCAAACGCCTTCTCTTAACGTCACAAAGGTACTTACATAGATGATATCCCTTTTATAACGTTCATGTATTTCCTCTAAAAGTATCTGATCATCTAGTTTAGCAAGGGTTGCTAAATCCTCCGCATATCCTTTCTCTTGTCTATCCATTTTAAATATCCTTGTCTCTAAATATTAAACACTGCTTTCACACTGCTAACATTTTATATACTAGTGTTTACGGGTAGATACGGTAAGTACAGGGGCTTGGTGACTCAGCCACACGCTACATGACGTCACTGAGGTCTCCACAATCAGTGATCGAGTGTTTACCTTTTGTAAATGACGAGTCGAAGATTACAAAAAAGTAAACTTAGAATTCAAAGCGTAAAAAAATCATATTGATAATATACAATGTGTAGGCCACTCCCATATATTCTTCTATATTTCATTCAGCGTGAACAATTACATCACTGGTTCAGGCTACGTTTATGTCTTACCTTATTTGTGCTACATGTATATTATATGCTTCCTAGAATTCGCTCTCCCCAACAAAAAATAAATAAATAAATAAAAATGGGCAATTGTAGAAAAATGTATGTATAAAAATATATGCACAAGCAGAACAGATAAATTAACCATGTAGATTTCCCAAATAAAAGAGAAATGTTACAAGACGTTTAGAAACTTCACATACCAGCTTTATCTTCGACTAGAAATTCAGAAATCTAAAGCTTCTCAGTAAAGGTTAACCATGAGACGGACCCAACTTTCTTCTAAAGATTAGAACTTTAAAATGTAGAGAATAAAAGAAAAGGTATTCTGTCTCATAACACGCCATGTGGCGTGTGTGTGTGTTGTGGGGTCTGACATTATTTGAAAGTTACTTAAATGTATATTGAAAATGTAGATAATAAACGGCGGGTCAGGGTTAACAATGCCCACAACCCCGCCCATTATGCTCCAATACAACGATACATCCCGACAATTGATAATGCCCATGGGCATGTTAATATTTGTTTTCTGGCAATGTAGTGATAGACTGATGACAGTCTCAAAATATCCCACACAGTAAAACCGTATCAAAGTTTACTTAGTATGTGTCTATAGACCAAACGTCTTTTCACGGGTTACTAAATGTTGTATATAATAATTTGTGAAGCATAAAGTCTGATTCACATACAGTGTTGTAATATTACATTTTACTTACTCATATATTTACTGATATATATTTAGATTAAAAGAAACGAAGGAGATCATCCTAAATCACGATCTATAAAACTAGTCATCATCAATTTAATATGAGTCAAAAAAATTTAACGCAAAATATTAAACAAATAAATTTGAATAAAAATTATCTTGTACTAATATTTGTTTAATGTGAATTGAAAAGCTATTACAACTTATATAATAAACTTTACATATCTATGTTTTGAACACATTCGGGGAAAGCGGGCGCTAATGCCTAATTAATTGATAATAATAATAATGTTTAACTGCATGGTTTGAATTGGTGGACTTTAGAAGACTTATCCTCTTCAAATCCGGCCGTGAAAGATTTAACTAGAATCTCGTCAGTTCTTTCGAATAGTGATGGGACAAGCTCTAATCGATTTTTTTTTTTTGTTTTTTGTTTTTTTGTGTTTTTTTGTTTCGAAAGTTTAAGCGAAAGTCAGTTTGTTTACAGATTTTAGTTCTATTTTTGGAAGAAAGTTTTTGAAGGAACACAGATTGTCATTCCAAAGAGCAATTTTGAAAAAATCCAGTAAAATCAACAATATAGTATATTTGACCAAGAATTGAAGTTCGAACAGCAATATTTTTGAGCTTGGAAATGTGATTTTAACCATTGCTCCTAACAAAATATTCGCGCTGTGAACTTCATTGCAGTAATGCTGCCTTCTGTGTTCCGTTCTTACAAAGAAGCAGTCACGTTCGAGCCACTGAATGCGCAGCTAAATACGTCTGATACCCATTTTTAAAATATATTCCTTTTTTATAACATTAAACCTTATACATCTCGTACTAAACGATATAATTTTATGGCCAGCCATAAACTACATATAATTGTATAGGCTTATTTATATTCAACATGCGTCCAATGTAAATAAAGCTTTTCTATAATGTAGTCCTAACTCTATTCATTCCATTCTACTTTTCAAGGAAAACATAAGTCTAGTTTTATTGAACAATTTGGCCTATTTGTGAATCATACTCAAAAGATACCTTGATCTCATTCACGGAAATAATTAGTTCAAGGCTTATAGATATATCATTACACTTGAATAATACAAACGTTTCCATAGATATTCATTTGACTGAATACAAAAACTCCTCGCCATGTCCGAAAGGTTAAAGGTATAGTAATGAATGTGGGTCGTTAAACATTTGAAAGAAGGATTACAAGTATTACTGTTTGATATAGTTTACTTGAATAAAATCGTGGACGTTACGTTTGTTTTTAATAAAATAATTCTACAAATTTAAAAACATAGACAGGGCCTAACAGCAGCAAAGTCCTTCTAGTGAGTTTCAAAAATTCCATTTTGAAATCTGTTCTTTACCAAAAATCACGGTTTTCGTGTCATCCGAACGACTAGCCAGCTGTCCCTGTCAGACCCTCCGTCTTGCACCACTGACACGGGGAAACCACGCCGGAAAATCCTGATGGACTTTCTCGGTCAACACCGGGAGCGAACCCGCGACCTCCAGGCTAGCGAGCCGTCTTACCCACTTAGTTGTTCTCTAGCCACAAACGAATAAAAACAAGCAAACAACGAAGCAAGTAATTCTGAATTAATCCCATAATAAATAGATGACACTCATTATTTAACGATATATCTTTTTGTATAGTGTGTAGCAATCAAATTACGTATCACTCTGCTTAAAGATACATTATGGGGGATAAGATAAAGAGATGGCAGTTCTCGCTATAATAGTTAAAAACTAGATAGTTTAAGGTAATTTGCTGAAAATTTCAGTCAAATTGATCCACTATGAGCCGAGAAAGAAGCGGGTGAAATTTTTGCATAGTCTCGGTCATCATTACTAAAATCATTAATATAAACAGCATAGTCTCGATTATCCACTTTTATTGATTTAATTATCCATAGCCGTTAGCGGCATATAGGAATCTAATCCAGCCAACATCGAAGGCTAGCCTTGACATCGAGAGTTTATTATGGTCTGGATAAGTTAATTAATGTTTAATTGATAATTTAGATAACATTTCAGGCCTAAAGAAAGACTTGTAATAAGCAGATTTTGCTCTTGCATAATGCATGTTTAACCTGCGCAGAAATTGCTCATCACGAAATTACTCATGGTATTGATGTCGTGAAACTATACAACAAGTTCCATGTACCCTACTTCATAAAGTTATTAAATGTTAGCAATAGGTCTATCGAATGTAAACAAACAATATTTCGTTTTGTTTTTAAAAAATTAAAATACATAATATACTATGGGGTCGGTAATTATATATGTACCTTTTTATTGATTTAAATATACAATATGGAACATGATGAAAGGCTTTGATAATTAGAGATAACAATAATATAACGTGGTTTTTTGGGGGGGTTTTTTCCAGTTCAACCAGATTTCTTTTTGAAAGGATTGTATTCATTTTCTTCTCTCAATATTCGTAAACCATAAAATAGTTTAGATAATGGCGGAAAATCATCCCAATCTACCCATTGCCATTCTGAAAATAAAGATAGATTCCAATAAAAAAAAAACAAGCGGTTGTCATGCAAGATACGTCCACATTTTGAAAGAGATGGACAGGGAACAAGCTAAAAAAATACAATTTTTTTGTGCAATCAAAATTTAAAGGAGCCAAGATCTTTGGGATTATAAACATATATTTTAAGTTTAATCAAATTCTAATAAAAAGTAAGACCCCGAGAGGGTCCACGGCCTTGGTGTAACATGCTTATTATGCTATTTCCGTAAAGGGGGGCGGTCATTTTGTTAGACAATATCGGTCCAATTTTCACATAATTCGAACTCAATCGTATAATTGTGATGTAACGGTGATATATTTGAACGGTTTTTAAAATGGGATACAACTTGTGACCTCCAGAGGATCCACAACCTTGGACTTTACAAAAGTTCCGTACGGGGAGTGGATATTTTGTCGTTTTTCACGAAATTCGAACTCAACCGTCATTATGATGTAACGCTTTTTAAATACGGATAAAAATTGTGACCTCTAGAGGGTCTACAAGCTAATACGAGATTTTGCGTACAATCAGGGGTCATCATCCAGCAAGAGTTACGATCTGATATGCGCGAATATCGAAAGGAACCGAGATATAAATGAAATGAAATGGGGTTTAACGTCCTACTTTTCTGCTCCGACGGGGCATAATGAAGACGGCTTAGGGATATAAACCTATATTTTAGGTTTTATTAAAAGCGGATCAACATTGCGACCGCTAGAGGGTCAACAACCTTGGCATTACATACTTTTACACTATTTGCGTATAGAGAGCGGCCATTTTGTCGGGCAGTTTCTATACGATTTTCACGAAATTCGAAATCAACCTTCATTATGGTGTAACTGTGATATATATGAACGTTTCTTTAAATCGGATAAACGTTGTGACCTAGGGTCCACACGCTAATACGAGATTTGTCGTACAATCAGGGGCCATAATCCAGGAAGTTACAGTCCGATATGCGCCAATATCGAAAGGAACCGAGATCTTTGGGTTATAAGCATACATTTTAAGTTCCATCAAAATCGGATACAAATTGTGACCTCTAGAGTGTCAACAAGCTAAAAACGTGATTTTTAGTACACTCAGGGGCCATAAGCCATGAAATGGTGGTCAGATACATGCTAATATCGAACGGAACCGAGATCTATGGGATATAAACCTATATTTTAAATTTCGTCAAAATCGGATAAAAATTGTGACCTGTAGAATGTCTACAAACAAAATGTGGACGGACGGGCAGAGTCGACGACAATATTACGTCCACATGAAAATTTGGGGGTATAAAAAGGTCACATAACTGAATAATATTGTATGGTTTAACTTGTTGACATATAAAATAATTAGAATACAAATCAAAATAAAATGAAATGGGGTTTAACCAAGAGGTTTTAATGGGTTTAACGTCTTTCTGCTCCATCCGGGCTAATGAAGACGGGCATGCGCCATGAGGGAATGGTGACCCGACAGCGGTGCTACGGCCTACTCTTATTTCTGTCAAGGGTTATTTTACCCCCACGCAAATGTTTCCATGGGACCTCAATTTTCCGTCCCATCCGAACGAGTAGACGCCTTTTCTTGTAAGCCTCACATCCTACACCACTCGGGAAACAATGCCGGTCATCACCGCGAGCGAATTCAAGACCTTCCGGTAGTAAGCTATATTATACATTAGTACCTGAACATTTCTTTGGTTCCAGGTTTTCCGTTTCTTGTTTACACTGTTTATATGATGCATCAACTTCTTGCACAATTAATAAAGTTACATAATGATATTTCTCTACTTGTTCTTCTATAGCGTTTACTACTGTAGCATAGAAAACATTCTTTAACTTTAAACCAGTTTCTTTTAGAGTTTCCCTTATACCACAATCTTCCCAATATTCACTGCAAGAGATCAAATAAAATGTTAATTAAATGTTTGCAATGGCACATGGGTCTTTTATTCTTTTGTAAGTAGTTTACTAACTACAAAACAACAATTTGTATATCCCCAAACTGATCAGCAGTGAATATTCTCTAAGCCCCTACAATTACTAAGTGGGCTGGCATCGGTGCGAGTTAATTAGCTCACAATATTAACTTTTTTCCTTCTGCAAATTAAATTCTAAAACATTTTTTTTTTTTTTTTTTTTTTGAAGTATTGGAAAAATAAAGGTGTTTGAAGTATATCTCAATATAAAAAATAGTTCCTTTTTAGTTAAAATGGGTATATGAAGGCGTGAAATGAGTAAAAGGCATCATTCTGTCCGGACCACTGTTTAGGTTAAAACGTCTTATGTAAACAGTGCACGCGCGATCGAAGCCAATGGTCAACGCTGTGTGATGTGACGTCACACGTGGAATGCATATAAACTTATAAAGGTCAGTTATATCTTACACAGAGTTAGAAGAAGGCTTTCGCATTACCCCTGTCAAACAGATTGATATATCCCATTGAGTTAACTACAAATTAAAGAACGGGAGATAATTTTTAAATATCGTTACTGTCAAATTTTCGTCTTGAAATCATTCGTATTCATAACTCAAAATATTGAGGATGCCTTACTTACAATCAAAAGAACAATTTTCGAACACGGTATTGTCAAGGACAAAATACGTATGTGGCATCAAATAAGCAAAAAGCGAGCGTAAAATTAGTGATTGCTTGGTAACCTATGAATCGCAAACGTTGGATGTTAACTTACCCAAATTTTAGATGACCGACGGGGAATGCATATAACCCTTCACCCGTAGAACCCTTTCTGATACCTAGTAGAACTCGATTCGGGTAATCTGGGTGAGTTACTATGACACCAACTCCAGTATTAGGCAGCTGTTTGCGTTCATCGACACCCGTTTCCGCCATTTTGATTTTTCAGTTTTCTTCTATTTCATAATTTCCTGTAAACTAGTTAACTACCACTTACTGCGAATAAAATTGGAAGATGAGTTTATTTATTGATATATTTTCACTTTAATGTTCAGATAATTTAACTGTTAACATCTATAGCAAGTTAGGCGCGAACCTAGTATAGTTTGGTTATAATGGATAAATCGTATTTTTCATGTTCAGAGAACACGTTAATAAAGGGACGCCACTCGTGAAACACTACTCAATAAAATTAGACGGGGCTGAATTATAAATCTTTATTTCAAAATATCCACTATATGTATGTCATTTTACGAACTATAAAGATAACTATAAATATTCAACAGAGCTGATTTGCAAAAGAAATGGTTTAAAGGGAGTAAATATTCATTTTACTTATTTGACTTCCATATGGCATTATTATTTCACATGTGATCTTTGATGGGCTGGTACGACAGAATTGATGAAATGCCATCCTCTCTTGGGCCTATGAAATCAAAGGCTATCAATTATAGGGCCTTGAAATGACACGTTATCAGTTCTGGGGTCGTGCGAATACATGTTCATTATAAGCAAATGGTGTTTGTATGAACCACAAGTTGAATTCTAACAAGTGGTTAGTAATCATGGCAGGTGTTAGTCAACATGGTTAACATAACTTCACGAATAGCTGATTTATTATCAAAGTAATGGTCATCTTAATGCTATTATTAAAGATTCATTATGGGAGATTAGATAAAGAGCTGACAGTTCTCACTATGATAGTTAAAAACTAGATAATGTAAAGGAAATTTGCTGAAAATTTCAGTCAAATTGATGCACTCTGAACCGAGATTTTAGCGATTGAATTTTGGGTCCAGCCTCGATCATCATTACTAAAGTCAGTACGATATAAAAAAAACATAGACTCGATTATCCACTTTTTAAATTTAATCAGAAGCAGCAGACCGGGTTCTAATCCAGTAAATATCGCAGGCTAGCGATGCCATCGAGAGTTGATTATGGTGTGGATAAATTAATTAATGTCTAATTAATAATTTAGATAACATTTCAGGCATAAAGAAAGACGTGCATATGGCAGATTTAGCTCTTGGATAGTGTATGTTTAAAAAATATTTCGGTTGTAACTGATGCTGAAATTATGAATAATTTATACGACTTCACAATGTATGACCATAGTTCCAATGTAGACAAATACGATTGTTTTTGACAGAATAATTCTTCAAATTTAAAAACATAGATGAAACCTAACTCCAGAAGAAATTAAAACGTTCAGGCTAACAAGAGAAAAATTCTGGATTGACAAATTGAAAACAACAGCCCCCCCCCCCCCCAGGTTTGAATATTCATACGGCTAGCGCTATAGCCCCCTTTGTAGTCCCATTTAGCGCAACAGCAGCGGGTGCGTCCAAAATCACCAGAAAACACTATACTGATCTCCAGGATAATCTCCCCCAAATCTTCACACATAAACTTATAATTGCATATTCTAAAAATAAAAAGCTTAACGACATCTTAGTACACAGTAAATTAGACCAAATAAGACCAGTCCTCACGCTAACCCAAAACAAAAAATATATCAAAACCTAGCCCTAACGCTTAGTAAATAAAATCAACTAGATAAGAATCCCTAACCCAGTGATAGTGGAACAAACACATTTTTTTTAAAAGAAAATCCAATTCTTAGTAGGAAAGACACTAATGTGGTTCTCATCTGAGAGTCTCACATTTATTCCTTTTGCTTTTTCCAGAAAACAAAAATACATGTACCAGAATAACATAAGCATCGCCTAAGGAAGACCATCAGCGCCACCAACGCCAAAAACAGCGAAAACAACTTTGTATATAAAATTAATGTATTGTATGTATTTTTTTTATAAAACCAGGAGATATCACGAACTAAATTTTCATCATCCTAGGTCAGTGAAAACTCAACCTCTCCCCCAAATTCTTAAAGCTAACCAAAGACCTAAGCCTTACCCTATCAGCCATTTCTCGTAGCCACGGTGGCTAAGTTAGTACGAGGTCGCGGATTCGGTCCAGGTGTTGGTCGAGAAAGTTCATTGGGATTTTCCGGCGTGGTTTTCCCTTGTCAGTGGTGCAGGAAAGAGGGGGGGGGACTGACAAGGACACATGTCTAGTCGTTCGGGTGGGACGAAAAAACAAAGTCCCTGTACACATTGGTGTGCACGTAAAAGATCCCATGGTAGTTGGAATTCAATATATGAGTAGGCCGTAGCGACGCTGTCCGGGCAAAATTCCCCTTCGTAGTCTGCCTTAATTAGCCCAGTCGGAGCAGAACAGTAATGCTTTAAACCCCATTTCATTTTATCAGCTATTTCTATGAAAAAACTTTTACCGAGTGTGATACCATTAACTCCAGGTTAAACATTATTCGGTCACTTTTGCTAGTTTCTCCATCGGAAAGTTGCTTGTAGTGCAAAATGAAACTAATGGCGCGACACTTTATGTAGTCGTGTACATTTACTTAATAGCGTTCACGGTCAATTTTAATAGTTTGTTTTTGTTTTTTTTAAATTAAATTAACTTACATACGGGGTAGGGAGTTATATTTTTATACATTTTATTGATTTAAATATACAACAATATGGAACATGATGAAAGGCTTTGATAATTAAGAGATCTCATAATAAAACAAGAATATGTTTTCAGTTCAACCAGATTTCTTCATGAAAGGATTGTATCTATTTTCTTCTTTAAATATTCGTAGACTACAAAATAGTTTAGATAATGGCGGAAAATTATCCCAATCTACCCATTTCCATCCTGAAAAAAAAAACAGATTCCAGTATAATAATGATAACCCATTACATTTTGAATTGTATAAATAATAAATACAATACGTTATTTTAAAAAATCACATAATTGAACATTTTTGTATGGTCTAACGTGTTGAGATATAAAATAATTTGAATAAAAACCAAATTAAGATGAAATGGGGTTTAATGCCCTAGTTTTCTGCACCATCTGGGCTATTGATGATGGGTTTACTGCAGGCATTGTGCCACAAAGGTAAATTTTGTCAGGGCAGTGGCGCTACGGTGTACTCTTATTTCGAATTCCAACCGTCAATGATTCTTTTATGCGCACGCCATTGTGTAGCCTACACGGGACGTCGGTGTTCGTCCAATCCGAACGACTAGACGTTGTTTCTAGCCAAGGCCACCGTTTTGCAACACGAGTAAAGCAGGCCTGGTGGGCCCTCTTTTTTGCAATTTATGAGTATGTCCTCAACATGAAAATCCACCGTGTTAAATTCCTTACATCTGAGGGATGAATGGTGACTCCAGTTGAAAAAAACAACAAAACAAAAGTAAAGTTAAATTGAAATGTTCCCGGAAGTTTTTAATTCATAAATTGTTTCCCGAATGATCGAACTTTTGCACTGAATACGCATAAAGTCTGTTATCTATGCAAAGCTATAGTAATTAGGTTAGCCTCGTCGGGCCGCTCGCGGTGGTCCGGTTTCCTCTTTCCTCATTCTTCTAAAAAATGAAATTGAATGAAATGGGGTTTAATGTCCTGTTCTCTGGGGCGCACAACAGGGGGGGGGGGGGGGAGCTTAGTCCAGATAGGCAAATGGGCCGGTTTGGAGGAGTCAATCCAAAATGTGGCCTACAAATCAATATTCAACTGAGTCATTTAAAATTTACATAATGCTATACTTACTAACAACTTTTCGACCTAACTGGGGGTAATAATTAATTTTCTAATGCTGAGTGCTCCCCCCCCCCCGCCCCCTCCCCCCCCTCCCCCTGGGAAAATATGTTTGTGCGCCCCTGGCCGTTCTGCTCCGACTTTCTAATAAAGACGGGTATACACCGCACAGTGTGCTGTCAGAGAAATTTTGACCGGACAGCGGCACTATGGCCTACGTTGTCCGCTGTCAGGCCCCCTGTCATGCACCACTGACGGGGGGGGGGGGGGGGCATGCCGGAAAATCTCGATGAACTTTCTCGGCCAACACCGGGATCGAACACGGGACCTCCAGGTCAGCGAGTTAACGTCTTACTCACTGCTTCTAAACACACCTGCTTGCAAGTGAAATATTGAAATAATATACCAAGTTTCAAGATCGTGGCAATGCGCATTTTAACACTTGTTTTGATGGTATAATATATATTTACTGCACCTAAACATTTATTTGGTTCGAGGTTTTCCGGTTCTTGTTTATATGATGTATCAACTTCTCCTTGTACAAATAAAGTTACATAATGATATTTCTCTACTTGTTCTTCTACGTTTATAGCGTTTACTACTGTAGCATAGAAAACATTCTTTAACTTTAAACCAGTTTCTTCTAGAGTTTCTCTTATACCACAATCTTCCCATGATTCACTACAAGAGAACAAATAAAATGTTAATCATGTCTGCAGTGACACTCGAGTCCTTAATGCTTCTGTGAACTAAATCGCCAATATTTGGCAACTAGAAATCGACACAAATGGGTTGCAACGCATATAATAATGCAATATGAATATATATAAAATGATTTACAATTCAATCGTTTCTGATTTTACTGTAATTTCTAATTTGTTATGTTCGACGAAATACGAGAAGAGTCAAAATTTAATGACAGTCTTTGTCGTCTGGTTATTCCAGTCTACACCGTTAGTATTCTCCTGTGGGATATGTTTAGCCTCGTTTGCTTCATTACAAATGGCATTCTAGCATGCGATTATTGTGACAATTTCAAATTTTTTATTTTGTCTTAAATATTGCATATCAGAAGCCCATCATTTCACGGTAAGATAACAACACCAATGTTGATTTAAATTGACCAATAAGTCGTGTTTGCAATGCCGAAGACTGTTGGTGATTTTGAGTTAGTGGCTTGCCTCCTTAAACTAACTAGCCTATAAGAGAATTGAAGATGATAAAAGAACAACATTTATAGACCTATCACTCAATAACACATTCTACGGTAGATATCGCTTGTGCGATAACTCTCATACTGAACGATATCTCTTAGGATATATTCCTTTCCATGAAATAAAATCTAAATCAAAGAATTATATCCATGTGCGTGCGTGTAAGAAAGGGTTGTGTGATAAATAAAATCTTCTACTCAGTTTTTTTTATATCAAGAAATATCAACACTCGTCGATAAAGTAAAAAAAATACCTCGGCAGAGTCTCATTCTTTTTTATATTGTAGACTTGTGTTGATATTTTAAAATTAAAAAAGACGAGTAAGATTCTCTGTATATCCCATTCGTTTCTTATTGCGTTGAAAAGGGAGTTAACTACAAATTAATTAAAGGGAGATAATTTATAAATATCGCCCCTGTCCCATTTTCGTCTTGAAACCACTCGTTTAAGTCGAAATATTGAGGATGCCGTACTTAAACCCTACTTACAATCAACAGAACAATGTCCAATCTACATGTGTCCGGTTATATTTCTTTATTCGAACATGATATTGTCAAGGACAGGACACGTATATATGGCAGACAATGAATAAGCAATGAATGAGCTAGAATAGGCCTATTCAATACTAGGCTATTGCTTGGTATGTGAATCGCTAACGCTGTATGTTAACTTACCCAAACTCTAGATGACCCCCGGGGAATCCGTATAACCCTTCACCCGTAGAACCCTTTCTAATACCTAGCAGAACTCGATTCGGATGATCTGGGTGAGTTACTATGACACCAACTCCAACTTTAGGTCGCTGTTTGGGTTCATCGACATGTGTTTCCGCCATTTTGAATTTTCGGGTTTCTTCTATTGTATATTCCCTGTAAACGACCACTGAGGCCCGGAGCCAGCCTGCTGGCTGCTGAGGGGCAGGAAACCTTTTTTTTGGTTTGGAGGGTACGGGTACCGGGGTCTCCGGGCCCTGAGACAGCCTAGCTGCCAGGCCCCAGTGACAATTAGACACCCTAGGGCGGGGTGGGGAGGTCTCTCCTCTCGGAGTTTATTGTGACTTTGGGTCTTACACTTGAGAAATCTTTTGAAATTTCGACCTGAAATGGTGGTCTGTGGGGTATATCCCGGACGGGAAGTCATATACATAGTTCTAAGCAGAAAAAACTATCGCAGAGAGCGGGCCTGTGGGAAGGAGGGCCACAGCCAGTCCGGGCCCGATGATATCGGTTCACGATTCTTGTCAAGCTAGCTGGTTGATTGAGAAACGGGGGCCCGACGGAAATATTGGACAATTAACAAAACCGCTACCTGACAGCCAGAAAAAGTAAATTCGGGTTTCGGGTTATGGAAATATTTCTGATATCAACTTCCCGCTGCCAACCCATCCAACGTGGAATCGTTGATATCATTTCTTTTCTTCTGACCGATGCCCCTTGGGGTCCTCCTACCAAATAATTTCAAAACTCATCGAAAAAAGACCACTATGTTTCACGATTTTTGGGAAATAGGTTTTCATTGTTTTATTTCTACAAAATATAAAAAAAAAATATTTTTTTTGTCACCAAAGCATTTGCCTCTGTTGACCTCGCTATGATCCGTCACTGCTCCTCCCCCGGAAAATTTTGAAAATTGGACGACCGCAAACGCGTTTTCCAGTCCAGAAAATCGTTCTCTGGCGAACTCTGAACAATAAACATAGTGACAAGACAGGGACCCCACGACAATAGGCCATTGGGTAAGTCAGTACAAAATATATGGCAGATAGATGTCAGAACATAACCAATAATATGAGACTGGGTGCAAGGTGCCACGTCCCCAAATCAATACTCCACATGATGATCCCTGACTGCTGTCTATTACAAACAGTAGGTATTTTAGAACTATGGTCGGCAATTTTTTTTTCGGGGAGGGGGGGTCACTGCTCCCACGCCCTTGCTTGCTCCCGGCTGGCTACGGGGCTGCTTCCACTGACAAAAAATAACATTTGAAGATAAGTTCACACTTATTGGTGAACGTGTGTTGACCACTAATTAAACCCATGCACCATCTCAGATGATAGAAACCTGTTAGAAAATGAAACAGTACCCTGTGAATAAGTGCAGCGCGCATTTTTATTTTATAAGTTATTCTTTATAGACTGTCGTGTGACTAGAAAGAAACGATTCTTACATAACGTCATTAACTGTTAACATCTATAATAAGCTAGGTGCGAGCCTAATATAGTTTGGTTATAATAGATAAATCGTATTGTGCTGACGTTAATGAAGGGACATAACTCGTGAAACACTACTCAATAAAATTAGCCGGGGCTAAATGATGAATCTTCAGTTCAAAATATCCATGTATGCCATTATACGAATTATATAACAAACAGATCAGATTTAAAAAGGATGGTTTAAGGGTATTAAATATACATGTTTACTTATTAATTGACTACCACATTGCATTATTATTTTATATAATGATCTTTGGTGGACTGGTACGACGAAATTGATAATAATATGGCATCCTCTCTTGGGCCTATAATTTTTTTTATCAATTATAGGGCCTATGATGGATGACACATTATAAATTCTGGGGCTGTGGTAGAGAACCACGATAACACGGCCATTATAAGCAAACAATTTTTGCATGAACTAAGTAGTTAGCAATCATGCCTGGGCATAATTTTATGAACAGCAGATTTATTATCAAGGCAATGATATCATCATCCGAATGCTATAATTAAAAACAGTCATGTTATATTTATATTTCGGTTGTAACTGATATTGAATTATGAATAATTTATACGACTTCACGTACGGTGTATGACAATACTTCCAATGTAGAAAAATACAGCCCGTCTCGTCGCTATGGAGATATTCTGCGGAGCTGCTACATGTCATGACAAATTCATTTGCATAACTGGAACCATTTTCCAGTCAGCAGAAGACAAGCAAAATTTCAGTGAACACAGATCGTTATCGTCTAATAGTCATCAGTTCCAAAAGGAGACGGCTCAAAAATATTAGTAGACGCCATCTGCGAAAGATTACGATGCACTAATGTTGGAGGAAGAGGACAGTACAATATCGGTTCCTGATACCTGCTTTCCAATGCTTTCCTCGGCTTTTTTACGGATGCGTCTGAGACGTAAGTACATATTATTGACACGCTGAAATCGGAAGTTCTATATGTTCATCGTGATGATACTCACCACGATGTTTATCAATCGAGGAGACACTAAGGATGGTATGTAATGTTTTAATGTGTTATGCTGGTGTGTTGTAATATAAGGTTTTGGAGGGTTTTTTTTTTTCAGTGTCATTAAGACATGACATTTTTTGTTTTGTCTAGTAGACAGCCTAACACAAAGCCAAACTAGATCATCTCATTTTGACCATCGTTATTTACTGACTGGATTAAAAATAGATCATACCGTTCACCAATGTAAAGTTTTCCCTATCAATATTGACGAATTTATTAAAATATGTTTCAAACGAATTACACAGCAGGTCACTCTCTTCATTTGAATAAAATCGACATTTTGTACACATACGTAGATCAATGATTGATAACTGTTTTGGTCAAGCAGCCATTAAAGGAGTGTCCACTCAATAATAATGATATTAACTACCGTTATTTATAGGTTTAATGCTTTATATAGTTATATAATAGAAATCAAGTTAAGAATCGTACGAGTGGGCAGTGTTTCGTCATGGGGCTATGTAAGCACTTTCCGCTCATGAATTCAAAAGTACCAAAGATTATACGGTGAATTTTGCATACATGAAAAAATGGGATTTAATAAAAAAAATATATAGTTGGTTCGAACAGACTGTACTTCATTGTATAACTTTATATATAGTTTAGTATGTATTTAACATTAGCCCGAAAGCACTTTTTGCCATTTTGGATTGTCTGTTCTGTATCTTTGTACCGCTATGATGTTCACGGTAAGACCAAGCCACAGTTAAACGAAGCATGAAGGTAAGGGTATGTGAAAACGAAAGCTGTTCTATGAAATTGCATTGATTTCATCGACTATTTATAGTACTGATTTTTCTTGCCAGACTTTTCAAACACGAGTATTGAATTTATTCCTGGATATTTATTGTCATAATAGGCTACTTGTGAATCTTTTCCGGTAATGAAAATCATATATTATCATGTGGAATATGCTGACGTATACGAAGTGTCCTGACAGTTCGTATGTTTGAACATACTCGGCATGTCAATAAAGGAAAGTTCTTCCGTTCTTGACTTGCAGTACAGGCGATCCTTACAATGATTATCAGTCCGGATTAATCTGGTACCAATTACGTCTTTGTGGCATTTGGTGTGGACAGCGGCGCTACGGCCTACTCTTATATCGAATGCGAGCTGTCAAGGGAACTCGGTTTATAGTTCCATCCGAACGACTAGACAACTGCCTTGTCAGACGGGGCCTCCCGTCCTGCAATACTGACAAGGGGCAACCACGCTAGAAAAACCCGGAGCATTATATGCTTATAGTATTTATAAAACACCTGACATATCATTGCCGACCTAAGGGAGCGAACAAATTTTGTATAATATGCGTGTGGGTCGTAAATCTCGTTTTATACTGAGATCAATGGGGGATTAAACTCGTTTGTAACTGGGTCATGTGTGTTATGATTTATTCACCTACATACTTAATCGACCATTCTCCTTCTACCGCCATATGTTCATCTCGGTAATTTCCGTCATTTTTCTAAAAATAACATCGGCAAAGCTTCGATTAAACTTACACCCAGTGTATGTATTTTTCGCAAATAGAAAATCACTGGACAAACAAAAATACTCCGATGTTTAACGAAAATAACCAAATAAGGATATAGCCGTACCTTCGACTACGTAAATCAATTCTTTTATCTCGATTCAAATACCCTTTGAAATGCAATGTTTAGTGACCCCACTTTCCCGAGGCGAGAGACGACAGTTAGACTTGTAATATAACTAGCCAATCATAACGTCTCGTTTGTGAATGTTTGATTGTCGCCAAATTGGTATGACACGAGCTAACAGGTCCACAACCTGATATATAACGGCAGACAAACTCTCGTCAGTTTTAGCATTTACAGTTATTTGTCATCTGCTCCCGTCTTAACCTGGCATAGTCTTAACGACGACGAGGATTAACCCATAACAGAGAGGAATTAAAACTTTACGGTGTGGATTAGTAGGTGAGATAATTAGCATGTCATTCATAAACTACAACAACAGTGTTATTATTACAAATATTTGAATCGAAAGCAGAGCTACACAACGTAGGTCAATGAAATTAACACACTATAAATTTTTAAAGGAAATTAAATTAGTTTCCTTTTTGACAACACTTACAACTAAAACATTTGCAGATTTCAATTTTTATTTTATTGCTTATAAAGAATTACACGTTAGTTTGTTTCAAATTTAATAGATTTTGTTTTGGAAAGTAAAAGTAGCAAGATTATTACAAACCGTTATCTTAAATTATTGCTTTTCTGACACTGTTACTCATCATTATTGGAAAAGTGTTTCCAGTTTTATTCATTGATCACATCGTATTCATTAAAACACACACCGTGTTCTATAGTATTACGTTATTGTGTTTACATGTTTGACAACAAAGAAATATTCTGTTTATTGATATCATCCACGTATAGTGTATTGATCAGTCTATTAATAACTTTACAATTTACAGTTATCTGTAAAAGGTTTCGTATAGTTGGTTTTCCTATAATTTTACTAATTAAATAGATTTGAAACAAATAATTGAATTTAAAATAACCACAAATTAACAAAGAATTTAATTTTACCATTGGTAAAATATAACAGAAACGTAATTATTGATATTTTGGCAACAGACCTTCCTATGCCATCAAATCAAAATAAATACTTATAAACCGTATTGATGCATGTTGAATGTCACCAAGGGGGTAAGAAAATCACAATATGATATCTATATGTACATATTTGACATATTTTATATTGGTCTTGAAGAGTCACCTTTCATTGCTAACAACAATTCCTTTTGATAATCTGTATGTACACATTTTATAGAGGCATTTAATAAAATATATTATCCATGCAATGAATGCAATTATATATCATTAACAGAAATTTACATGATTCAAGATTGGAGACAGTTTTGTATTGTGTAAATCACAATATTATTATTGTTATGGCTATCTTTTATGATTCATTGTTGGACTGTTCTTTTCTGTTGAAATATATAGTCTATGAAAACTTTCATGTCTGCAAGCCAAAAATAAAATGTATTTTTTAACCTTTTGTAAAAATCCTCTCAGATTAAAAATATAATTTGAATAAGAAAATGTTTTAAAGATTGTAGTTAAATATGTTTTAACGTCCATATTTAGCTTAGGTTAGACCTTATCTCATCAAAGGTCGTGTGCTACAAAAGTAGGTCTAGCCCAACAAAGTTGTAGGCTGCATAATATTTTATGGTTCCGGAAGACGAGTGATATATTTTATTATAATGAGTGTTATCTACGTAAAATAAAAACGTCAGATAAAATGTATATGATTTGTAGTATTTTACTTTCATCATAACATAAATAACAGGAGTGGCCGGGTGTGTATGCACAAAACTTCATTTGATGACCAGTTTGGTAAACCGAACGTTACCCAACCCAAAATAAGGTAATTTGTAATGTGTTACAGATTGTTATCACACGTATAAATGCCATAGTTAAATTTCTTCTCAAGTATGTGGATACACGTCCTTTAAAAAGCTGTTTTCTGGCTACATAAAGATTAAACCATTGTTCAAACAGTTTTACTTACATACGTGCTTAAAGAAAAGAAATCATCTGCCCGAGAACTTTTTGCGTCACACGAAAATTATATTTTTCAAAGGATAGATGTTGCATAGTTAAAGCGAGAATTTCATATTTTCTAAGAAAGTTAAAACATAATTATTTCTATGTCTTTTGCTCAATAGGTTATCAACTCACTATTATACGACCATGGGCATTATTTCCCACCCTTAAAAATCATTGACACAGAAAATAATAACACAATTACCTCCCTTGTTTCCTATTGCCTCCATGCATTAGCTACTTTCAAACGTTGGAATTTGAAGTTGAAAATGATATTTTTGCCAATTTCTCAGCTGGCAATAGTGACTTATAGGATTAATAGGATTATTTTTTAACAAGGTAGGACGGTTTATAGATACCATCTAACTTAAGGCTTTATTTTAATAAATTTTAAAAATATAACTTAAAAATATGAAATTGCAGCTTTAAGGTAAACAAGGTTCAGATTTTCCGAATATATTTACTGAGAATAGAACACACGTATGCGTTTTTCTGTGACAGAAAGAGCTCATGTCAGTGGCAATTTACCGTAATAGTGTATTCCATTATGATAAAAAAAAAATGCAACATTTGAAATGACGCATCGCATTGTTTGCGTTGGTACATTTCTTTGCCATTGAAGATTAAGATGCAATCATATACTGTTCAACTGAATTACTGATCGTGGTTTTGGTTCTAAAATGTTCTTAGAGTGACTGGTATCTTATCATTTACATAAATTCCTTAACGGTCATGCTATATTCTGTTTGAGAATTTAGTTGCAGATGACTGTTTACTTAATGCTAGCCGCAACTTACCCACAGCAGAGCTATTAATCGTGAATTTAGAGGTTAACGGTCTAGAATATTAATTAGAGCACTGATTTATCATTCAACTCGAATTTCAGCTGTTTTCGTATTTAAATACGGGTAGATCCGGTTTTTTCTGAAAATTCTACATGAATAATTTATCCATCGCCTCCCAATTTATTTATTACTACATTAATATGAAATTTATGGTGCTTACAAAAGTGGCTATATTTGGCGTTGCTCTTCGTTTCTTTTAGGAGAGGGTTTCTATAGATGACCAAAAGTTTCTTTTATGGCGTAAAATAGGAAACAAAAATGCGGTGGACAAACATTGTTATTATAACATTGATCATTGGAGAGGTTTTGTAATCAGACTCCGAGTTCACAAAACATTCTCAGGCTTAAGTTAAGAATTTACTCAAAACTTTTTGCCTTAATATAACTAAAATATAGGGCTTTATAAAACTTTTGTTGTTTTAATGCATTACATACATCAATAAGAAACTACATGCAAAGTTTTGTGTTTTTAGACCAAAGATATTTCTCATAAACAGCGATTTAAAGTTGAGTAAATTCTTAACTTAAGTCTGAAAATGCTTTGTGAACTCGGGGCCTGACTGGTATTATTCCCAGAAATATCTACTTGTAGACATACCTATGACCCACCTGCGCTTAGATGGTAAAGGTAAACAAACAAAATGTACTTGCATTCAATGAGTATTTACTGTTAAAAAATATCAAACGTTCTACTAGTATAAACAGGAGTTGGATACCCTCTAAACAAACAGTCATTACACAATCTAAAGTTTAAAACTGTCAGATTTTCTGTAGATTGTAAACCCATACCTATAAGGACTATCTTCTGGGTTGAGTAACATTGGTCCAGATGTTGACTTAGTGGTCAGTCCCACCCATAACACAAACCTTTTAAATTTATTTAGTTTCTACAAGTAACTGTAAGTAAATAAAACACATTGTATATATATCTTTTGGCCAACTGTAAAGGTGAATCTCCATGACAGCAATTTTTTTGCTAAGTATAAGCACAAATTTACGTGTTGTGTTGAGATTGTTTAAGATTTGAATTATCGGAGAAGATTGATATCCTTCTCCCCGTCAAGACAATAAGTAGGTCATTTGAGACTAGCACATAGCATGATGTAATTATTTCATTTTTCAATGGAAGTAAAAGAATTTTGAACAGACAGTGGTGGCTTTCTTTTACGTGTACTCCTGGTCGAATTCCGACCTGTGGGGCCTGTTTCGATAGGCAGCCACTTTGTCTCTGAAACCACACAAACCAGGTGTACGTAACACCCAGTAAAAGAATACAAAAAACTACAAATCGGATAATACAAATTACATACTTTAAAGTCATAGTATTTTGGGTAGCACATAATAAAAAATAATTGATAGTTGTTCTATCCAGGACTGACTGAAAGCTAAATCGACTGTTCCTACACTGTCTTGATGTCCGCACAACGTCTTGGTGTTGTCCCCACCATGTCTAAATAATGTACATGCATGATTGATGTCTTAAGTGCTGGCACTATACTGGGACAAATGTATGCCAGAATGAGTAACAATTTTCAAGGAGAGCCATCTCTCCAGATGGTAAGGTGTTTTATTATGTGTTACAGAAACCAATTTACGTCATTGACTTGGAGTAATCTGTTTTAGCAGACTTTATACCAAGGTTCGACAAATAAGTGTCTTCTGAGAGATTAGCCTAAGTTCTAAGAAATCGCTCAAATAGTATTTAGAAAAATCAATTTATAGCCACCTGCACCACCATTTGTACTCTTGACTATCTGAACGACTAGCCACACTATAAAGATGGAACATGATATCTGAAGTGGACATCATGTTACATCTTTTTGTAGAGTAAGTCGTCGATACAAACGACGTATATTATGTATAACACGAGATCCAGGGGATTTTTAAGTTTCTTTTGTCTCGATGCTGTGCTACAAAGCATACCTTCGTATCAGTATTGCTCTTTAATCCTTTGATTGACAGCCTTCTAAAAGAACAGTTTATATCAACCATATCTACATATGCCCAGTGGGTCCTTCTTTTAATTGTTATTCTTCTTAAATCTGCAAGGTCATATGTCGGGATGGGTCACAACATTCTTCATTGATGTTGGAAGATAAAATTAGAATGTGTGACTTCACAACGAGAGTTGGTCGATTTTGACATTCCACCATCGCTGCTTTTATTCCAGACATAGCCCAAATTATTCGAGATTTTATTTCCCCTATTGTTAATGCCTTAATACGTATGCTGCTATAGTAGGTTTCATTTTGTAGAGTTTTTTTGAAAATATTGGTATTCCCAGTTCTTCTGTAAACTTTTTGAGATATAATAATCCCCCCTGTTCCCAAGGTTGTAGATTATTTTAGAAATATTAGTCTCCCAGTTCCTATGTTTAAAAACTCCTTTGAGGAAATTAATCTCCCCAGTCCGTTAGTTTGTAGGCCATGTATAGTAGTCTCATCTGTTCTTCAGTTTGTAGACTATATTGGGTATAGTTGTCTCATTTGTTCTTCAGTTTGTATACTATTTTAG